GGGTTAAAAAAAAAAAAAAAAAAAAAAAAAAAAGCTCTGTTTCCTTTTTCCCCTACATTAATGTAATTAGGAATCGTTGCTACCCCAAAACCTTCTGGCCTACAAAGCTGACCTAACGGTTACGTGGCACAAAGCAGACCCAAAGGGTCACGGCTGGAAGGTTTTCAGGTGTTCAAACCCTTGGGAGTCCTCTCGAGACTTTTTCAAAAGCAACCCAACATCAGAGCTGTTCCTACTGAGACCCAAAGATCTCTGTGCACCCGAATTACCCCTGAGCAGGAGTTCAACAAAACGTTACCTGCGCATGGCAGGGGGCAGCCCTGCACGGCTCATCTGCTTCCAGCAAAACCAGGACTCGGCCGTGCGAGCTCTGCTTGCAGAAAGGATTATCCCTAAGCAGGAAAAGCAGAGTGGATCAGCGCTGCTTTGGGGGATAAAACGTCAGAGTGAAGCAGGGCGGGGAGATGAGGAGCCGCTCCGAGCATCGCAGCGCGGCGCTGCACGCAGCTCGCTGGCAGCCGGGCCGGGGCCGGGACACGAATTGCTCCGCTGCAACCAAATCCGGGCTTTGCAAACCTCCTCTGGGCGCGCTGGCACCGGGCTTTGCCGACACGGACACGGCCGAGTGAGGAGCAAAAGCTCCGCGTTCGCTGCCGACGAGGGCCGGGCCGCTCCGCGCCGCCAGCAGGGGGCTCCGCGATGTGCCGGGAGGGGATGCGGAGCTGCGGGCGCGGAGCCGGGCTGCGTCACACCGGCAGCCTGAAGGGAGCCGCAGCAGCCGACCGGGGCTCTGAACGCTGAGAGCCGGCGCTGCTCATCCCTGCGTGTGAAACCTGCCCCGGTGCGGCTCCGACGGTGCGGCTCCACGAGGCTGCGGGGCTGGGCGGTGTGCGCTGCGCTCAGAGCGGCGGCTGAAGGCACAGAGCTTGCTCTGATCTCACTGTTTTTGTTCTCGGTTCCCTTCTTTAACGCGCGCGCGCGTGTGTGTGTGTGAGTGTGTGTGTTTTTCATGGTCTTTGGGTTTCGTGTTTTGTTGGGTTTTTTTGAAGTGGTTTTGCAGTTATTGGGTTGGAATCGTACTGGGTTGTAAACTGTCACGTACAGCTCCACTTACAGAAGCCCAGAATTTCTGAACACAGTTTCATTTTGTTCTTTGTAAATCATCTCTACTTTAAAAAAACAACAATAAGAAAGGTCTGTTTTAATGCAGGCATCAATTCTGCAATGGGGGAAAGGTCGGACGGGAGCAGTAACAGCGGAGCAGAGCAGAACATCAGCAAATGCTTTCTTCCCCTGTCATGTGAGCAATGCATTTCTGGCTGAGCTCTTCTCAGGGAAGCCACTGGCAGGATTATTACCCCTGTCCCATATCCAGCCTGCTGCAGGGGATGGGCGTTAAGCCCCACGCTGGAAGGTGGTCATTCAGGCTGTGGGAAGGATGCTCTCTGCATGAGCACATGATGGCACTTCACCTTTCTCAGCTCTTCTAAGAGACCCAACTGCACCTCTTCCTCTCGTGGAATGTTCCCCTGCCCCTGGTGTTTGATGTCCTCCAGGAAGGTGCTGGCAGTTCCCAATCAGAGTGGGAACAAAGTTCAGGGAGTGCTCCATAACTCTCTCCAGCCATAACCTGCAGTCACGCGCTTCCCCACCGTGGTGCCCAGTGTCCATGGGTGTCTTCCTGCTGCTTCTTACTCCTTGCCTTTCCTCTCCTATCATTCACACATGACCACCTGTCTCTGTTTCGTGTTACTTCAGGCCAGAAGGGATCTGTTTGTTCACCACAGACCCCTGCATCTGCAAATGAACTCGGTGGCCAAAAGGAGCAGATCTGCAGGCAGCACCCAGCCCCGACCCGGAGGGGTTTGGTGATGTGTGGGGCAGCGACCGCCCCTCTCCTCCTTCACACCTCAGCTGCAAACCAGAGATGCCAACCAGATCTCTCCCCTTTTGTTTGCATCTCTGGGTGCTTTTGCTCTCAGCTCAATTCCTGGACTGCAGGGTGAGGAAGCTGCCTGTGTGCAGAGCAGATGCTGAACCGGTCAACAGTTTTTTGTTCTGTGGAAAGAAATAGCATCACGCTGTGACGCAGGATGAGGAAGGTGAATTCCCAGCGTCACCATGCATGTTCCTTCCCTCCTGTGGCTGACCAGCAGGCAGCATGGGCAGCTGTGTGCCCCCGAGGCAAGCCTGCCTGCTGTGCAGATTGCTTCCTCTTCTGGGTGGATAAGAATCTTTTAATAACCTCACAGTGAGATGATAATCACAAGATTCGTTTTTATCTGTTTTTTCAGGGCATCCCCTAAAACCACTCTCAGAACTCCTCTCGGTGTGGAATCCCAGCTCAGTACTGCTCTTAATGTCAGGAATTTACTTAAAATTTCACTTCTCCTATTTTGTTTGCTTGAAGAAAACCCTAAAAGTCCTCTCCAGAGTAAGCTTACTGACTGCACTGCATGAACCTTCCCCACATATCTCCCAGCTCAGTAACTCAAGATGTGAGGGGGTGTCTGGGCACGAGGCAGGGCTGGAGGTCCCAAGCCAGGCACTGCAGACAGCAAATGTCAAGGTCCCATCCAACGTAAGAGGAGAGACATCATGGGAAGTGGGCACATGAGTTACGTTCACCCTTAAGCCACCATTGCTTCTGTCTGGGCGACTCCAGCATCCTGCAGCAGTGGGACAAACTCTTCCATGCTGTACAGCAGAGAGCAAAGGGAGGCACTGATGCTCTGCCCAGAGCACTGCACTGCTGGCCCTTTGGCAGGGTGTGGGGAAGAGAGATGCCAGCAGTTTGCAAAGGACCTGTAACACCTGAATTCACGTTGTAGTGCTTTGTGTGACTTGTAGGCATAGGCAGCACCTCCCAGTGCCCAGCCCGGAGCTCACCACATCAGTTTCTTTACCCGAATCTGCCAGCAGCTCCAGCCAGGCCAGGTTCGTGTGGGTGACTCTCTGTGCAGCTGAGATTTGTCACAAGGTCAGTTTTCACTGCAGTTCACCTAAAGGAACTCTGTTGTCTCCTGAAGTCGTATTGATGAACAACCCCTGTGCAGCTCTGGCACTGTGACCTCACTTGTGACTTTTGTCACCAATTTCTGCTGCTCTTGCAGTGCAGCTGACACCAATCTAGGATCTAACCAGGACCAAAACATCTTTTTCTCTTTTTTTTACATAGCTATTGAATGTTAGAGTAACAAATGCAGTGCGGTGAGCAAACAGTGCTGTGTGCCTGAGGCCTGGCCCTGAGAGACCCTGCGTTGTTCAAGCAGGATCACCCTCCTGTAAGGGCAGCTCGTGGGACGCACGTGTGAAAGGGAGGATGTCAAAGAAAGTCGCAGAGGCGTGAAATAGACTGCAAATATACGCAGCCAAATTAAGCAAAGCTTTTATAAATGATCTGAGAGCTCCCCGGGCCCCAGACAAGACCGTACAAGAAGATTCAGTGTCATAAGAAAAGCAGATTGTTTTCTTCGCAGAACTGGAAATGCTGAAAATAAACACTTTGCCTGAGTTGGTTCTGACAGCGCACGGCTCTGCACACAGTGCCTGGGAGCAGGGAAACGAGCTGTGAGCTGCCCTGCGCTCCTCACTGCTCCATCAGCACGGGGTCTGGAGATGCACCGCAGCCACACGACGGCCCACCTCCGAGCTGCCGGGCAGTGATGCAGCTGGCAGCGCCCGTCCTGCGGCGCTCTGCAGGCAGCGCAGAGCAGCTGAAGGCCCCACGCCCACCTCTTCTGAGTATTCTGCCGGTGCTGGAGGGAAGCCTTTCATCTCTCATCCTTATTGGCGGAAGTGGTTTGAAGATGCAGCTCTAAAGGCAGCGTACCTGCTAGGATAGCTGATGAACAAAAGGAAAATAGAGCAATAAATAGTCACGGGGATGTGAGCAGCACCTGCCTACAGATAAGACAACAGAGTGTACTGAAAGGCCAGGGATCACAGAATCATCGAATGCCTTGGGTTGGAAGGGACCTCAAGGATCACGGAGCTCCAACCCCCTGCTGCAGGCAGGGATGTAAGTGTAGGGCAGGGAAACTGCAGGCAACCTCCTGCAAAGCCAAATAAAGGGGTGACAGCTGTCAGGTGCCTGAGCTGCAGTGAGTCAGTGTGGGTCCGGCACCCCAGATGGTGTGCAGGGGTGGGAAGGACCCCAGGATGAGGGAAGGACCGCAGTGGGATCGGCCTCCTAGGAGGGAAGTGCTGAGGGGGTCTCGCTCTGATTTCTAGGAGGGAGAGGAGGTTCTTTTAATATCTGTATCCCCGGCGTGAGATTAAGAAACAACGGTTCAAATGTTGGTCCGACCAGTTTCTTACAGATGTTAATTAAGGAGATGGTGAAGGGGAGGACGGACGCTATTATGAATTAGGGTAATGGGGAGGGGAAGGAGGGCGATAGAAAAGATAGGAGAGAAGAAGCAAGGAGTCTTTATAGGAAGCAGGAGGGACACAGTCACCACCATGGATCCAGCGAGGTTCGTAGTTCAGTCATTGATCTTCAGTAGCGGTGGCTCATCGGGTGTTGTTGTTCTGTTGACAACGACAATGGCGAGGACGACCATGGTGATGATGGCCCTTTTTCAATGCTTTCAAAGTGGTCGAGTCAGCTGTCTTTGGAGTGACAGCTCAAATCCAAAGTGGTTGAGTCAGCTCTCCTTGGAGTGGCAGCTTCTGGCTCTGGGATCTTAGCGGAAACTCCTTGGTTCCCATCTTCCTGGCCTTGCCAGATAAGAGGGAGCAGGGAGGCACCAACTTGTATCTTGCCTTCACAGGATACAGTGGCATCATCCCCCAGTTTCCGATAGCAAGCTGGAGTTCTTTGGTCACAGGCCAGATCTTCTGCCAGTAAACACTCCTGAGCACTATCTTCTGAAGGCAAACAGCTAAAATTGTCCACACAGCAACACCCATCACTCACCTCCTAGACAAGTCAGTTTTATCACAAGAAATACCTCAAAAAGGAAGCTTTGAGCCAAAAAACAAAGGATTCTCACAGGGGGGCTGCAGTGAGAGCCGGGTGGGCACAGCGCCTGGGGAGGGGCTGCAACCAAACACTGCGAGACCCCCATGTGGTCTGTGACTTCTGATGTATTCAACTGGGCTTAAGAGCTGGGAGGTGAGGTTCTGCTTCAAGCTGAAGCAGTTGGTCTCAAAGGCACGGCAGCAAGTGCTCAGCAGCTTTAGGGTTACTCTTAAATAAAACTCAGATTCTGGTGAGGTCCTGTTTTAGCTGTGGTTAACCATTACATTATCTTCATTCTAATATGCATACACATTTATTCAGAACACCATCTTCAGGTCTTTCTGTGCTAAACTACACTAAAGGGAGTCATATCAGCCCTCCTCAGCGCCCCAAACTTCCAGGGGCTGCGGGGTTCCAGTGCTGAGGAGAAGAGTTTTTCCAGGCTGGGATGTGTGCACACAGCTGGGTTCTGCCGTGGGAAGCGACACGAGTGCTGGTGTCACCATCAATTACACTACTGCAATCCCCCTGCCACACACAGCCCATGGAACACCACGCTGGTGGCAGGGCGCTGCTCGGATCACCGTGCTAAGACAGGCACTGCTCAGAGCCGGACGCCGGCTGCCCAGCGGGGGCTCCCACAGCAGCTGCTGGATACAGCCTGATGCAGAGCACTTGTTATCTGTAGATCAGCTCAAGTACAATGTAGGTAGGACAGGGTTTCCTTTTCTTATTTCTCTGGTTGTGTTTCTACCTGTCAGAAGAACGGTTCCAAGAAGTGGCATCCAGCTCAAACAGCCACAAACAGCCACGGAGTGACACCGAGCCGCCGCCCTCAGGGAAGGGGTGAGCCGAAGTGAATCCCTGCAGGGTGAGCTCCTCCCGGGCTGTGCTGAGCTCAGACCTCTGCACAGTGTGATGCTGGGGAAGGCACAGCACTGCAGATGTGCAAAACCTCTTAGAGGAAGGCGGTGTGCGCCGAGCCTCAGCAGATGGTACAGCAAAACCACCAGAAAGCAGAAAGAGGGGGGAAGCCCACTTGCTTGGGAGCTGCTGCCGATGCGGGCAGGCAGAAGGGCTGCTTGCTGGGACGGCTGTTGTGCGGTGGGTGGACGCCTTTCCTAGAAAGGGCTGAGTGGAAATGGGAAACTTCCCTGTTTCCTGCAGCACCGGGTTCTGACCGATGAAGCAGGCTCTGTTGTGGAAACTCTCCTCCTGCCCCTTCGCCACATTCCAGGTGCGGATGCAGGATCTGCCTCGCTCTGCCAGCTCCCGGTACGGGGCGTGCGGACGCAGCCCTCGCAGCACGGGCTGAGGAAGGACCTGAGCATCAGTGCGTGCAGGGAGCGCGGGGAGCAGCACAGGATCTGCCGCTGCTGAGCGCACGAGGAGGAGGAGGGTCTGACTGCCAGGCACGTCACCGGGCTCTGGCCGAGGTGCAGGAAGTATAAAAGGCAGTTTCCCAAAGAGGGGCTCAGGCAGGAGCTGGCGCACACCAGGCTGCGCTGTGCAGACGATGCTCTCAGCAGCACCGTGACTCTGGCTGTTAGAAACAAGACCATGGACGGCGGTGAGTACCTGCTCTGCCTTCATCTGCGTCTTTATTAATAGGGAGAATGCCCAAACCATGCCCTATGGCACAGGGATGAAGCATTTTGAGATTACTCAGTATAAAAGGTTTAATTTTCCTTGTGTGCTATGAACAAGAGGACCCAGCTGAAGCTTCTCTTCTCCACAAGCTCACAAATCTCAAGTCAATTTGCTTCCAAACCATAAAAAAAAAGGCAGCCTGGGGGAATTTCAGGGAGGCTCTGCTGTCCAAAAGCGAGTTCTTCCCATGCCATTCCTATCTTTTTCTCATGTTTCTTTAAAAGATCTTCCATCTCCTTGGTAATATTACACCTCCATGGATAAATCCAGGGATGAGAGTTTCCTCTTGGCTAAACCTCCTCGCTTATTGAAATTTGTGTGACTGAATATCTTCACTGCAGCCACCAAATTTTGAACCAATGAGAAAACTGGGTTTTGTATTTGCCTGGTGCTGGAGCAGCCTGAGCTGGGGCACAACGTGGGTCCGGGCTGCAGCAGAGCCATGGGAGCCAGGCACTGCTCTCTGACATGATGTCCCTGTTACACAGCAGGCACGAGACTCGTGTCTGCTCCTTGCACGTCTCACACTTTGCCAGCTCACACCCAGCGCCCTGCAGCCCCGGCTGGAGGATGTGCAGCCCTGCTGCTGAGCAGTTACCAGCTGAGCCAATCCCCTCTCCTTTCTGAGCCTCTGAAATTTACTTATCTCTGTTTATTCTGCTTCTTGAATCACGGTTTCCTAAGAGGGATGGAGGCAGATCAGTGTGTCTGAGATCTGTGAGTGTGTGAAACAAGCCGTATGACATGGTTCTGTTACCCTCACCTCAGCCCATCTTTCCTCTGTCTGCAGTGAGAAAGAGGGGGGAAAGAGGGGGGAAACTGGCACTGAGCTGTTAACTGCCAAAAGTCATTATATTATTTAAGTATGATTAATCCTTCTCAGAAATATCCGGTTCTTCCCCCAAAAGCCAACAATAGTGATGGTGAAGAGGCACCAGAAACCCGAATACGGGTAGAGATCTCAACAGGACGTTACTCACTGCCTACACGTGTGCTGAGGTGCTTGAGGCTCAAACCTCCTTGGCAGCCCTGGCCAACAGCAACAAAAGGTCCTTTGCCCGTGAGGGTTTAACAGACAGCTCTGCTCACCTTCTGCTCTCCCCACACACGCAGCACCAGCTGCAGCCCTCCTCCCCAGCACCGACCGGAGCTGCCATCGCCTCGCAGTTCATCCAGTGGAAGCAGAGCTGAGCTGCCCGCTCCCCACTCACAGAGCACTTCTTTCCTCCTCCATTCCCTGCAGCAGCGCAATGAGCTCCTGAGGACTGCAGCTGAGGGAGGTGGGGGCTCAGCGGGGCTTTGGGGCACGGCCTGACTCACTGCACTGAGTTTGCTGCCCCTTTATAAGGGAGGTTGCTGCTCCAACTGTTACAGGGACTTTTGAAGGGGTTTTTTTCTTAATATTTTGAGGAACGAAACTTTACGAAAATACCCACAGCTGAGAACTGCCAGAGGCCAGAAAACGTAAAGCTACCTAAAACTGCCCATTAAACTCCAAAGTGGGCCTCATTTCCTCCCTGCAGCCCATTTGCTTCTGCTCTCCTCTCCCTCACGCCCTGCCCCGGGCTCCTGCAAGCACAGCACCAAGAAACGAGTCCCATCTGTGATGTGAAAGTGGTGACTCAAGGACCCGCTCAGGGACCACGGAGCTGCACTGCCCCTTTTGCCTTTGCAAGTGCGTAAGCTGGGGTGAGGGGATGGAAAGTGCAAGCCTTTTTTATACTGAAAATCATCTGACATTTAAGATACGTGAAACAGCAGCTGAGGAAAAAAAAAAGTGAAGCTGTTCAAAGGAATGATACCTCGCTGATCTGTTTGCGGATCGTTAGTTGAGTCACTTTGTTATCAGCTCTTTTTCGTTAGGCACTTCAAAGGGTGGTGTGCTAAAAAAGGCAGCTCACTACTGCTGTGCATTTGTGCCTATCAGTGGGTCAGGGGCCGGGCCGGGCCGGGAGATACAGGGGAAGCTGCTGCTGCTCCTGGACAAGCACGCAGTGCTGCAGCAGCGTGGAACCAGGAGGCACCGCGCTGTGCTCCCGCATGGGCAGCAGGGAGGCTGATTCGGCCGGGTGTCCTCACCACGGGGAGCGGCGGCTCTTCTCTGCCTCCCCTTCACGCAGCTCTAGGAGTTAATTGTCTCTGAGGCCCCAGCTCCCGACAAACAGCCAGCAGAGGTAACATCACCACCAGCAGCCAGCAGCCCAATCCCTGTCCCTGGGAAGCCAGGCCAGTAGCTTGCTGGAGAGCATCGCTTGGCACCGAATGTTTTTTTGCCAGGGCAGTGACCTGTGCCAGCAACCCAGGCACCTGAGGCTTATTAAGCACAGGCAGAGGATTCAGCAGTTTGGGCTTCCAGTGCATTCTCCTGGTCCAGTACAGCACCAGGACGGGAACCAGCAGAGCTGGGAAGGGCGTGAAGGAGCCCTGAAGCAGCAAACAGCAATCCAGAGCAGAGCTGCGTGTGGCTGCTGAGCACCGAGGGTCAGAGGGTTCAGCCAGGCTTCTGAACAAATGCTCATCTGTGAGGACAACTGCAGGGTCACCAGAGGAAACAGGCAGCCACAGCCAGAGGCATCTCCTGCCTCAGGGTGAGCCCTGCTCAGCAATCCCAGAGCAGGTGATCGCAGGGAGGCAGGGGCTGCAGATGGGGGGCTGCCTTGTGCCGTACAGACAGAGTGCAGAACACTGTGAGCTGGAGGAGACCCTCAGGGATCAGAGTTCAGGGCCACTCAGGGCCATCCAGGCAGGCAGGCAGGACTTTCTCACAGCTGCCAGATTGCCTCCTAGCTTCAGCAATTTTCGGTCACAATCACCTGAGGTAGATGCTGGCATGTGCTTTAAATAGAGAGAAGAGAAAGCTTTCACTGGCCTCTATGTCTCTACTAACCACAGCAGGAAGAGCTGTTTGTCTGAGATTGCTCTCACCATTGTCACATCTGGCTCTGAATTTAATTTTCCTCCCAGCTGACAGCGTGCTGCATCTCCTCATCCAAAGGCAGCAGAAGCCAGCTCTGACATTTAGACAAGCAATAAATTTCAGCCAGCTTCTGATCTGCAGGTCACCACACTGCCAAGGAGCAGCTGTGCCAAACTGACTGCGCTCACAGCCGTGTTTGTACACACACTGAGTGTGTTCCACTGGGAGCACAGGAGATGGGCTGCGGGCTGCACCCTTCAAGAGCATGAAGCTGCCAGCCTGGGGGTGAGGAGGACAGAGAAAGAAGTCTGCAGTAAGAATGGTCACACTATGCTAATGTCTTCAGCTATCAGATGAGGCTGCAGAGGCCAGGCTTCCGAGACTCAATCAGTGCTCTGGCAGAGGCTCGTTACACGACCCGGGTTGTCCTGTGAGCATCTCATCGCCTTTGTTGTCTGTGCAGCTGCAGGGAGCTTTGCAGAGTTTGCCACGGCCAAGCGCGCTGCCTCTGCTCTTCAAGCAGCACATGGAAATCCCGGCCTGACTGCTAACGCGGTGTCTTCTTCTTCCCCAGGTAAACAGCTGAAGGCCACCCTTGTTTTCAGCCTTCCTCTCATTTTTCAGGTAAGGTGTTGAAAACAATGTTGTTGAAATGCGGCTGCATTTGCGTTGTGGGTAGAGACAGGTCTCAGAACTCTGGCAGGCAAAACAGCCACCCACAGCCCTGGGGAGCTGCTCTCACACTCATAACCCAGCACCACAGAGGTGGGCGGTGAGACAGTGCTAAAACCAGAGGGAAAGCAAACAGAAGGGATGACAACAAGAACAGAAGGAGCAGGATGAACAGACCGTAAGGCATCCGATGTCAGAACCGGGTCTGTCCTCAGCGCGGTGCACAGTGCGGAACCAAGCGCCAGAAGCAGGGCGTCCCACTACGTGATCCCAGCTCCCGCGCCCAGCACTGGGCCCCGGCTGCCGTGGGTGCTGACGAGCTGCTGTGCCCAAGCACCCCCTCATTCCCCCCGCTCAGAGCCATACGAAGCGGCGAGGCGGAGCTGGGCGCCGTGACCGGCTGCTGAACTGCAGGCCTGGCCCCGGCACTCGCGCTCCTGCAACCACAGCAGCGGCCTCAGCCCCGCCATGGTCCCCGGCTCCCCGAGGCGCGGCCTGCAGGCTGCTCTCCCCTTTCACTTCTGGCGGCGTGCCTCCAGATTGCACGCAGGATGTGGTGAAAGCCAGGCCTGCCTGAGACGGAGCGTGCTGAGAGATTGGGTGATAAGGGGCAGAGGTATCCAGGGGAAACCTTTCATCTCCGAGCGATGGGGAGAAGGTTCTGGAGACCAATGGCTCCCAGAAAGCAGGGCAGAGACACCACAGGCTCACTCTGCTCTGCTGAGCGTGGCAGCGTAGGAAGATGAAACGAGAATAATCAGAACTGAAATCAGGGGCAGGGGCCTGTGAATGAGATGCCAGCAACCCGTCCATGTCAGCATGCTAACGATTTCCTGCTTTGCTGGCTGTGTTCCCCCACAACTTCATTGACACCTCTGTGCGCTTAGCAGAAACAACAGCCGAGGGAGGCAGGGAGGCTCCGGCTTTGCCTTCCAGCAGAGCCCTTCGTTCACAGCCCCGCTGGGAGCAGGGCAGGAGGAGGGCAGGGAGCCATGAGAACCCGGCGCTCACAGAGCCAGGCTGCTGATGGCCACGAGCAGCAGCTGCACCACTCCTGGCGCTGCCACGAGAAGTGCATGTGAGCAGCAGGAGTATCTCGATGGGGAGGGAGCTGAAACTGAAGCTAGAAAATGCCAAACGAGTAGACTCAGTCAGGACGTTTTGCTGAGAGAAGAACACCAAGGGCTGTGCTATTTTTCCCATTCCATCTAACAACTGACTGTGTACATACCACTGTGTTTGGGTCCTGGTGCATTCTGGATAACAGCCACACATTCTAGAGTTTTCAGGTGTTATACTGGTTGCACACTAACTTTTCTTGCTGAATTCCCATGATGAGCCCCAAGAAACCCAAACCCCACATACTTATCCACGTTGTCAGCCATGAGACCTTGCTCAGGATGGGAACTCCCCAGGACATCCCTGGCCATGGCTGGGTGCTGCTGCTGTGCAGGCTGACATCAGTCCCCCACTGGAAAACACCCACTGAGGGACAGAGGCCGTGCACCCCAGTCTCAATGGGCTTTGTTCCTTCCTTGTTCTAGTTCTGCGCTGGGAACAACGTCACTGACGACTATGACACCAACACCACCATTGACTACAACATGTTTGAGATCCTGTGTGAGAAGAAGGAAGTCCGTGATTTCCGTGCTGCTTTCCTCCCAGCCATGTACTCCCTCATCTGCTTCACGGGGCTGCTGGGAAACGGGCTGGTGATGCTCACCTACATCTACTTCAAGCGGCTGAAGACCATGACAGACATCTACTTGCTGAACCTGGCCCTGGCAGACATCCTGTTCCTGCTGACCCTCCCATTTTGGGCCACAAGTGCAGCCACGTTCTGGTGCTTTGGAGAATTTGCCTGCAAAGCAGTCTACTGCATCTGCAAAATGAGCTTCTTCAGCGGGATGCTGCTCCTGCTGTCCATCAGCATTGACAGGTACTTCGCCATCGTTCAGGCTGCCTCAGCCCACCGCTTCCGTCCCCGAATGATATTCATTAGCAAAGTCACGTGCATCCTCATTTGGCTCCTGGCCTTCTTGCTCTCGATCCCTGAGCTGGTTCACAGTGGTGTAAATAACTATGACAGCCACCCCCGGTGCTCCATCATTGCTAATGACTTGCAGACTTTCAACACTGGCATCAAAGTGTCCCAGATGGTTTTTGGCTTCTTAATTCCCCTGGCAGTCATGTCTGTCTGCTACCTCATCATTATCAAGACATTACTCCAGGCCCGAAACTTCGAGAAGAATAAAGCAATCAAGGTGATCATTGCGGTGGTCATCGTCTTCGTCGTCTTCCAGCTGCCCTACAACGGCGTCATGCTGGCCAAGACCATCTCAGTCTTCAACAACACCAGCTCATGTGAGCAGAGCAAGAAGCTGGACATGGCAGACGACGTGACCTACACTCTGGCCTGCTTCCGATGCTGCCTCAATCCCTTCCTCTACGCCTTCATAGGCGTCAAATTCCGCAACGACCTCTTCAAGCTCTTGAAGGAGCTGGGCTGCCTGAGCCAGGAGCGCCTCTGGCAGCTGTCCTCCTGCCGCGAGAGCAAGAGGTTTTCCTTTGCCATGGAGACAGAGACAACTACCACCTTCTCCCCATGAGGAGAGGTCCAGGAAGGCTGAAGGCTGGTGTCGTTTCGTACACTGCTTCTATTTTGAATTACTGATAGAGAAAGACTTGCCATTACTTTAGGAAGGGCAGCTGGAAAAGAAAGACCAAAGAAGCTCTCCATATGTCAGTCAACGAGCAGTGCTATCCAGTGTTTTCAGGGATGGAGAGACTTCAATAAAAACTATGACTAACAGTGAAGTAAGGGAGGGGGAGACCAGTGAGTTCAGAATTCATCGTGCCATTTCACCTTTATTTCCTAGCCAAAATCAGAAATGCTCAAAATGGTTCATTTTCATAAAAAGCAACAAAGAGCAAGAGAAGCGGACAGATGTGCTACGTGCTAATTCTACAAGTAAGAATTACTTGTTTAGAGCTGGGTTTCCAAGAGCACTGCCCTTGCTTTGCATTTAACACGACTGCCTACTGCTCTTCCACACACACAGAAATGATGCTCACTGCACAGAACAGCACCAGCAGCCTCAGGCTCCCAACGCCACACAGCAGCAGTGTGAGCTGTGAGGTGTCCCAGCATGCAGCCCTCAGCCCTGCCTTCCTCCAGAAACAGCGAGAAGCTCCCATAACCAAACTAAATTCACACATATAATAAGTATTCAATAACTGCACGTTATTGTGGCATCTCAGGTTTGTCCACTTCACTTCTGCCTGCAGCAACGACATCAGGTGTTTCACCTCCTAAGGAGCTCTGCTTATTGCCTCCCAGTGTGTACTTGCATTCTTTGGGAATGCTGCTTCACTTTGGCAACACAACCTTCCTCAGCTTCTGTAACGGCATCAGCCTGCACAAGGGCTGAAGCAGAGCTGGCTGGCACAGTTTAGACTCCAATTTTTGCACAAAGATGAGTTATTTACAAGTGCAGAAGATCTGAGGCCTCCCCAGTCACACAAACTTGAACCAAGAAACAGACCCTTCAGTGACAGGTACTTAAATATATTTTTAGCACCCGTCCTGCAGCCTGTCCTCACGCCAGCCTTACTCCTGACACACCGAGGGAGGCTTTAAGCTGACGTGGAAGCTCGTGCTTTGGCGACTGCTGCCAGAATGCTCAGCATTCAAGCCCAGGGCAAGCTGGAATATATTTCTCAGTGCAAGACTTAGGGTGTATCTGTTGCCACGGTCTGAGCACTGCAACCTGTCAGAATCCAAAGCTTGCTCCTCTCCAGCCTTAGCAGCTGTGTGGACACAGCCTGTGATTGTCACCTACATGTGGGGCCTTTCTGTGCTGCTGCTTGCTGGCCTCAAGAGGTAATGTCACAAATGTGGGTTTTCTTCTCCCTGACCAGCCAGCGTGTCTTTCTAGAAGAACTTTGGCAGCTGTCTTTTCTCTAAGTCAGACCTGTATTTCACTTATAAGCTACTGGAAATGTGCTTAGCATTCATGCTGTCACCTCTAATCAAGATGCCATTCACTGCAGTTTGATTTAAACACAAAGGGGGGTGTTGGAGATCACTGCCAGGGTCACTACTTGAAAGGAACAGGCAGCTGAACAGCAGATGATTGTCACATAAAACAGGGCCTTGAAAGGAAGCCTTGAACCTGATGCCATTCCCCAGAAGGAGGAAGATTCCCACAGCAAACAGCACCCTGAGAACTGCTGCTATGGGACACCTGAGCATCAGCTGGGGAGCAGCTGCTGCAATGTCTGTGCATCTGTCCCTGAAGTGCAGGCTCTGCCCCCAGGGCGCACAGCTCTCCCAGCGCCAGACACCCGGCAGAGGGCAGGGACCCCCTGCAGCACCCAGCCCCAGCCGGCACAGCAGCAGCCGAGCAGTTCTGACCTGTGGAACCTGAGCCGCACTCCTGCGGCCGTGCGGAGCCGACACATGAGAACACAGGCACTGCTTTCAGTGCCGCCCACAGAAACGTTCGGAGTGACACGGGGACTCTCTGGACCGCAGGTCGAAAAGCCTCGTTCTGGAGACGGGACACAACCAGCCCTCAGAGAACCAGGGGTGGTTTTTGAGCCGATGCTGCCGGGTGCGTGGCCGCTCCAACCAGCGTTCTAAAAATTCCCCTTCCCAACCCCCCTGGCCCTGCGGGGTTTTGCCACGAGCTGAATTCAGGAAGGAGGCGCTCCCTGCTCTGAACAGCCTGTCCTTGTTGAATGGCCATCCCAGCCTCTTGTTCCAAGCATCTTCTTTTATAATGCCCATTTAACGTGTACAGTAAGTGCTGCTTCTCAGTATTAAAGGGGGGTTAAGACTGACACACCAAATAGCCATTTCTTCTTGTTTTCCTCCTATGTTTCTTACTCAGGCAAAGAAAAGCTGACCAGAGTAAGGGACACCTATCATACAGGCTCCTCTTCGTTTCCTTCACCAGTACCACTGTACTCTTAATGTATACTTACACATGTAAAGCTGCTTCTCATAGAACAATTTCAATACGTACATGAATGTACCCTGAAATACACTGCTTTCACTAAGTCTTTTTATGCATAACACACTCCCCTAACTTATTCTAGCAGGAAAAACTGCCTCACCACAACGTGTACCTGTAGCCTGTTTAACAGAAACCATTTCCTTCCTAAAAATGCAAAGTTTTCAGGTCTTTGCCAACTGGACGCATTCCGAATAGGGAAATATGCAGCTGCCTTTGTAAGAATGAGAAACCAAAGCAGCATCTGGGGCAGCTGCGCCGGGTGCCTCCTCGTGAGTTCAGAGCTGTGCAGATGAAGGCAGCCACCAGATGGATCCCACAGTCTGAGCCTGAGGTTCTCCAGTGCAGACTGAGAACTGACCGTATGTTGCTGTCGATGGGAATAAATTATGACAATTTTGAAAATACTTCTGCTTTTTCCTCGTGTGTTTCCTCGCGGGATGCAGCTCGGCCACATCCTTCTGGACTGGCCAGGAGCTGTTTGTTATCACCCCAGCTTTGTATCAGCTCTGCTCTGCAGGGGAAAAAATAAAAGACAACGTGTGTAAGCAGCCTAATTAAAAAAAAAAAAAAACAAAACTAATTATAAAGGAAATAAGTCAGAAATGGGTTTAGTAGTGGTGCTGTCTTTATTTTTAGTCTCGGTGTAATTGTCTTCGTGCTGTTCCAGCACTGCATGTACTGGTGGTTACGAACATAAAAGCCTTCGTGTTTAAAGAGAACAAAACCATCGCCGTGCTGTGAGGTGCTCACAGAGGGACTGCTGCTCCATGGAGCAATGCAGCTCCGTGCAACAACTGCTGCACTGACTGCGATGCCCCAGCAGGCCGACCTGCGCCGCGAGCAATTCTTCCTCAAGGTGCACAGGGCCAGTCACCATCCTGCACAAAAACTGCCCTCCAGCTGCAACCTGGAATCAAAGAGAAGAGCAGAGCTGCGGGGGGAAGTCTTTGTCACCACACAAAAGAATGAGCTGGAGTTAGTGAGGCAAACAAACCCTAAAAATAATGCACGTGGGTGATGAGGAAGGGTGGTGGCACTTTGCAGCAGTCAGAATAGATGAGGGTGGGCCATAGTTTCCTCTCCCCATCTCTTCTTTTATATGGAAAAACAAACCAAAGTCCCATTCTCAGGGCGGAGGCTTCAGACCTCGGAGAAGAACCTCTTCCATGGGCAATAATTGCCCCCAGGTGCTTCTGCCCGCCTGCCCTCCGCCCGCAGCGCAGCGCTTCTCCCTTCCCAGCTGAGGTCCGGTGCCCTGCCCTTATTCCATCACAGCAGCTTCTTCCCCAGGCATGAAATCAGAGATAAAAACCTCACTGTGCAAAAGCAGTAATTAGGAGCACCCAGCTGGATTCTGGTGCCGCACACAGGAGCCTTCCCACCCTCCTGCTGAAAGAGAAAAGCAGTGCTAACATCTTGGATGCTTCAAATGGGGATTCACAAGCACGGCTCTGGGTAGCAGCCTAACCTATTTTCGAGCTGCGTGAGAAGCTGGTTTTCACTTTCACCTTCCAGCACGACCCCGGCTCTCCAGGAGCTGAGGCTGCTACCAGAGCAGGGAGTCGAACCCCCGTGAATTAAACAACAGCTGCCATTGCCACAGCTCGCTGCAGAAATCTTCTTCAGGTCTCGACAAGCACGGTGGCTTTGGGTTCACCTCCACCACGTGCATGGCAGAGTCAGAGCCAATCGAGGCATGATCTCATGTGTTTGTCATTGCTGAGCCCATGCAAATCCCCAGCCTGCAGGAACCGAAACTCTTAACTTACCTTCTTGCTGCTTTGGTTGTTTGGTTTTAATTCAGTTGTCTAAAATAAGATAGCAAGCAGATACTTACTTTCCTTTCTTTGCTGACATGCCATTACATAAACCCGAATTTCTGAATGCTGAGATGCTTGGCTGGGAAATTGCTGTGACTAAAGACCAACATCTAGAATCACCCTGCCAGAAAGGCCCAAATCACCTCCAGTACCACAGGGAATCCAAAGAGCCCCCCGGGATTCAAAGTCTGCACACATCTGGTTATCAAACCAGAGCTGCTATGGATCCTAGCTCTTCCTTCTTCAGCCAGGAGTTGCTCTAAAATCCATCGAAAGCAACAGAAGGGTCTTTCACCATACCAGCACGAAGGGTCTTTGTGTTACCCTGCGAGCTGGTATGAATTTTTCATGCTGTGCAACACGAGAGGAGGCAGATCCCAGCAGCTGGATACACACAACCAAATGCAGTTCTGAGAACAACACAGGGCAGAGCAGCCCCTGACTGCATTCATCCCCACGGGCAGAGTTTCACCAGCTCTGCCAGAAGAGCAGATGAGCTCCATACGTGTCTGCTGCAGCCCGAAGAGCCGCAGAGCTGCTGCTGAAGCGCCGCGCCACGACTCTGCAGCTTGTCCTGAAGGCAGCTGTGCTCCTCTGGGACAAAGCTCTCATTTAAACCGCTTGAGCCAGCAGCTCCGTGAGGCTGAGGGCTCCAGAGGAGCAGAAACGTTCTGCTCCAAAGCTCTTCACGTGCCACGCAGTAAAAAATCACATTTTCACCAGTACAAATGACTCACAAGTCAAAGCGCCTTATGCAAAGCCCCTAAGCTGTCATTTCCAAGAAACGCCGTTGCTTTTGTTTGTTTCTCACACCCAACAAAGGCAACAGAATTCCCACCCAACCGGCTGAAAGGAAGATGCTGATTTAGACACACAAAAAACAGTGTTTGACCAGACACCACCAATTACTTCCTCTGATTTTGATCCCGTTGGCTTTGTGCGGTCTGGAAATCAAATTTACCAATTTTAATTTGCTGGTTTAACGATTTTAATTACAAGGAAAGCAAATATTCCCATCCTCAGCCCCCGCCAGGCAGTGGGACCTGGGGCTCCAAGCCCCCCTCTGCCTTCCCAGCAGGCAGCGCAGCAGCAGCCCACTGCCGTGCATCTCATCACAGGGCATCTGCCATCCACATGAGAAGCTGTATGTGGAAGGAGCTGTGAACGCACACGTGCTCAGGTCTGCATTTGTCTCCCAGCAGAACTGGTTTCAGACTCCGGGGGTTCTGGCAGCAAAATTAAACGCCCCGCTCAACCTCGCCACCGGAGCTGTGCAAATGAGAGCTCGTGTTTTCAGGGGAGCGTTGACTGATTCCCTTCAAGATAACAAGTTTCTTCTTCTAACTTGTGGCCACACCGAGCAGTGAGAAAGAATCTCTACCCCCGTGCCAGGGCGGGGAGGGGGAGAAGGAAAAACAAGTCTCTTTCTGGATGACTAACACAGCCAGCAGCGACTGCCACCCTGCAGCTCAGCCCCGCGCTTCAACAGGGAGTTACACAAAGCTCCTTTGAAGAGGTTAACACGTTCTCAGTTGATGCTCTCTGCATCACCAGAGGGTTACAATGTTCATCTCACACTTCAGGACCTGACTACATGCAGAGCCAACCTTCGCCTCCAGTCACAGCTTCCACCAGGCTGCAGGCCTGGCAAACAACCCTCAGACCCTCACAGGAGTCACCAAAATGTCTCCGTTGTGGAGCTGCTGGCCAGGCTCCACACTCACCTGCAGCCGAGCAGCCGGTGGCCGAGCATTGCTGCCCGGTGTGCCACCACAGGCCTTTGGACCTGCTGCCAGCAACAAACAAAGGTGTCCCAGCCGTCAGAAGCGAGATGTGAGGTGCCATCGGGCCGTGCTCCTCAGCTGGGTGCCCTGCCTGGGGCACGATGTGGGCTGCAGCAACTCCAGCAGCTCAGCTCCCGGAGCACAGGGACAACGCACTGTAGGCATCAGCGCTGCGGGGAGCTGCCCCTCGGCGGGGGGGGGTGGGGGCTCCTGGCACCCGCTCACCCCAGACCTGCTCCTAAGCAGCCGAGGTCTGCAGCAGCACAACCAGCAGCAGGCAGCTCCCTGCACCACAGCAGCGTCTCCCCGGGGAGGCTGTGACTTCCTCCGGCCGCAGCCAGACAAAGCACGCCGTGCCCCCTGTTACAGTGGCACAAAAGGAGCCTTTCCGCTGGCAGCATCTCCTCCTGCAGACCGCGCGAGGTTCGTCAGTCACGGCACGTGCCCTGAAACGCGCTGCGACCTGAAGCAAGCAAACACACCAACAGCGGCTCTCTTTGAGAGATGCTGACACCGTGTGGGGAAGGCTGAGAAGGCACCTCGCTGCTTCCCGTGCAGCCTGGGAGTCCCGCAAAAAAACCGTGAACATTGATCCTCTGAAACAGCGGTGGGGGTTCAAAAAGCAAGTGCGAGTTAAGTGGCACTGAAGCGCTACGTGAGCAGTCGAGCTTGCTTTAATTTTAATACACTGGAAGCACTTTTAACAGGGCCTCGATTCATTCTGAAATGTAACCTGCACAAGGTTTTCCTGCCTCCATTTCACCTTCTACTGCAAAACGAAACCTCCCTGACTCCACGTGGGCCGGCTCTGATGGTGCCTCTTCTGTCTGCACAGACAAGAGGTCCTTGCTTTGTGTCTTTCTGCAGCCCTGAAGTGAACAAAACCAACGAAGGCTGCTCCACCTACGCAGCCGGCTGTGCACAGGGATGACCCCGCAGCCCACTCTCCGCCACCGAAACCTTACAGAAACAAACATGCAGTGACACCAAACGTGTTATCAAGGGAAGTTTCCCAACGCCCTCGTACAAAAGCACTTCAATATTCTGCTCTCTGGGACGCTGCCAACCCGCTGCTCCCCGCACAAAGCCCGCAGCGGATACGGGCACACGCAGCCCTCAGGAGGTGCGGATGCTGCGTCATCCAAACATCACCGCAAGGAGCGAGGAACTCCTGCCTTTAGCAGAAGGACGTCAGACAAGCACCCAGCAGCACAAAGACAAACAAGCAGCGCGGTGCTGCCGGAGGCTCGGCTGCAGCTCGGACCCGCAGCAGCGCAGCGCTCTGCTCCGCTGGGCTGCCGTGGAGGAGCCGGGAGCGCATCCTGGGTGTGGGCGCACCGCCGCCCGGAGGGGTGCGCCGCATCACTGACGCCAAGCACGTGGGCGCGGGGATGGGCGCTGCGTGCGACACAAAGGACATTTCCAAAGAGTCCATTTAAATCCTGCCGGAGCAGCGGAGGAACGCGCGTTCCGTTAACGACACGCAGCAGCTCCGCTCCGCGCCGCACGGAGCCGCCAGGGCCGCCTGGCCGCAGGGGGGCGCCCTCCGCACAGCGGGAAGCTGCGGCGGCTTCGCGCCATTTTCGTGCGCCCGCCTCCACGTGCCGGGCAGCGCGCGCATGCGCCCTTCACCCTCTCCGCAGACGCCGCTGCCGCGCGGCGCCCCCTGACGGGAGGAGCGCGGAGCTCCCGGAGCACGTGACCGCGCCCCGGCGCCGCCTCCTCGCGGCGGAGCGGCCGCGCAGAGCCGGAGCCGCGCGGTGTTTCCGTACAGCTGGCCCGGGGCGGCGGCTCGTGCCTCCCGCGGAGCTCCCGCTGCTCCTCGCTTCCCTGCGCGCCGCGCTTCGCCGCTCCGTCTTCCGTTTCCCGCAGCCCCGGAGGGCTCCTCCCGCCGTCCGCGCGGTGGCGCTGCGGAGCTCGCGCGGCGCCGCTGCCGTTTGTGCGCGGTCACGGGCGCGGCGGCGCGGGGCTCCGGCTGTTAACGGGGCGAACGGCCGCGCTGTGCCTTCAGCCCGCTGCGGGGCGCCGCGGTTCCTTGGCTGTGCGGGTCGAGTCTTCCTCGTGGCGCTGCGCCCTCCGTTACAGGAAGGGGGGGGAAGCGCGGCCGAGCACGTGCTCGTTCGCGGCGGTGCGAAGCGGGGCGGCGAGGCGCGACGTGTCGCCGGGAGCCGCCAAGCGGGGATGGAGCTGCGCTCCGTCCTGCGCTCGCAGCGCGCGCCGCCCCCCTGGAGCTGTGAGCGCAGCGCGCGGTGAGAGCAGCGTGGAGGCGCTGCTGGTCGGCACGCAGCTTTTCCTCTCCCCCGGTAGAACGGCTGCCACTCCTGCGGCGTCCGTCAGCGGCTTCCTCTCCTTCAGCCCGGAACGGCGGCCGTTCGCAGCGCTGTTGCAGCAGCTCCGGGGCTCGCGATGTGCGCCTTGCCGCTCCCGGACCTGGGCAGATCTTAGCAGAGCAGCGGTGAGGGGTTTGCCTGCACCGAAACGAAATACTTTGCCCCGCTGGCGTCTGCCTGCCTCGCACAGGGCTGAGAGGCACCGACGCTTTGCTGAACGTGCGCTGGGAGGTCATCAGGGAGAGCCCGTGGCGTTCCTGCGGAGCCGGAGATGAAGGCAGAGGCGCTGCAGGCTGTGGGGAGAGCACGCGGAGCACCGACCTGCGGGTGCGAGCTGCTGCCACCAGCATCAGAACGGCCTCAGCGTGACAAATGTCAGCAGCTGTGAGTCGGCTCCCAGGCAGACGCACGGAACCACTGGGGGCTCATTGGAACGTGAGCCATGCAGGAGCCCACCCTGTGTCGTTGTGGATGGAGCACCTCTGGCAATCCCTGCTCGGCAATGTGTGCCAGGCTGCAGCGTGTCCCGTGGGGTGATGCCATGTGGGGATGGAACCCGCAGTGCATCTCAGCTCTCCCACCCTCGGCGCAGCCCCGCAGCCCCTGAGCAGTGTGTGGTTCCCACTGTCTCCCCATCCCTGACCGCTCCATCCCAATAAGGCATGCAATAATCAGCCCATTCTTCTTCTGTCCCTCGGCTGCTGCACCCATCTGGAGGCCCTCCATACACACTGGCTCTACCTTTCCCCTTCCTGTGCCGTCACTTTTGTTCCTGCTCCCCCCAGCTATTATCAATAAAAGCTGTAATTAGTGCTGCTCCCTGTGCCCGGAATCCTCTTCCCATCCCTGTTGCTGTAGGGCTCACAGGTTTTCCGTTGAGCAAATATGGATACAGTTCACTTCAGTTGCCAATCCCTATCAGCTGCTGGCGTGGGGCACTGCAGTGTGTGCAAACAATGCTGAGATAGAGAAGAAAAGCAAGTGTGGAGAGCAATTGTTCTCGCTGGCTTCACCTTGATAACAAAGACGCCAGCTCCAAGACAAAGGCTGTTCACGGTTCCTTGCCCTGGGGCTGCAGAGGTGTCATTTCTTGAAAAGGGAAAATTGATGGTGTGGGCTTCAAATGGAGCTCTGCAGGATGGCCGCTGCTCGGGCAGGGCGGGGGGGGGGCTGCATTTAATTCCCTTCTTCCACCCAACATGAGAGCTCAGACACGTCTCCCCCCAGAGAAGAAAACTTTGCCATCATAATTTAGCTGGAGGCTGTCACCAGCTGTACCCAGAGCTCAGGCCTTCCTGCAGCACTGCCTGCAGAAACGAGAGGTTTCTGTAGCACACGTCTGCACGTGCAGCTGCTCCAGGAGCACAGAGTGCATCCAGGGCACAGGACAGAGTTCTGCTCCCGCCCTCCCCAGGCCCATCCATGGGTGTCCCCGGTGCTCCCAGGCGCGGCGGAGGCTGGAGCTGCAAAAATCTGCCTCTGAGGTGCGAAAAACAAAAAGTCCTTTATTCCATAAAAGGCGGCTGAGGAGCCCCAACCCGGGGATCCGCGGGGCTGCGTCAGCGCTCTGCGTAACGCGCGGCGGTGTTCCAAGTGAGCTGACTCACCTGCTGCTGGCAAAGGAAGCGGTGACGGCACAGATGTGGGGCTGCTGGGGGGCACCGAGGGCCGCCTGCACCAGGCTGGGGTCCTCACCATCGCCAGCATCACCCAGCATTGCTGTGCGTATTTCATTTTCACGAATCAGCATTTCAGTGCTCGGTGCCTTTTCTGTTTTGCAGCCCTGGGGAGCAGTGGGGGCTCTTCTGCTGCAGCCTGCCCTGCCGTGGGGCTCAGTGCTGCTGTGCACCTCCAAGGGGGGACAGAGGATGTGGGACAGGACTGCAGGCACTGGGCACAGACTGCAGCAGGACGCCCTGCCCGGGGCGCTTCTTCTCCACCTTTTCATCACATTTGCACACGTGAATTCCAGGGAAGTGTTCCCAAGTCTTATTCATATCCTTTGAAAGGCCCTTTGCTGTCTCAGCTCACAGGTATCTGCATGTTTACTCTGTTCAAATTCCACAAAGATGTAACCATGCACTTACAAACCCTCCACGATCCCAATTGCGCAGCTATCTGCTCTCACTGCTGAAACAAACTGGGATTTTTTGCAGCCTGCCTCAGTTGGGGAGGTCAATCCATGCATCCCTCACTGCTTAAACCCAAAACATCAGAGCGAGTTCACCTCAACCTGGTAATGAGAGTAATTAGGGTAAAAGCCTAATCAGGCTGTAACAGCTGTGGAGCACGGAGGGTGTTTGGTCTTTGGAGGTCTGTGTGCTCTGCCCACCCCGTTGTTCTGTACTGCAAGCAGAGTGCAGGGCAGGGATTGCAGCTTGGCTGAGCTGCAGGAGCAGCAGGAGGGACGCCAAGGGAAAACGCTTGGGCTGCTTTCCTGAGGGTCCCAACAGCTCTGGGAGGAGTCTGCAGCACAACAGCCATCCTCTATAGCAACTGTCCCCCAGAAGAGCCCGGAGCGCTGCGCACAAAGGGAGCGTGAATGGCGCTGCGTTGTGAATGGCGCTGCGGGCAGCCTTAAAGGAATGAAGGATTGCGATCTGCCTCTGGAAGCGCCCCCAGCAGCAACAATCCCACTCCCAGCCGGGAGGAACTGCTTCACCCGGGGACACAGAGGCCTCGCAGAGCCCGGAGACACGGATGGGATCAGCACGGAGCTTTTGGGCGCTGCTGGGCCTCGGGGAGCTCAGCTGCCCTGCAGGTGCTGCTGCTGTGCGGGGGGCGGCGCGGCAGGAAGGGCTGCGAGCTGCAATGTTTGCCCAGGGATGTAACGGCAGGAAAAAAACAATACATAAAACGTCGGGAAGGTCGTAAAGGGAGTTCGAGGAATTAAAAGGAGTGGGATTTTATACGATGTGCTTCCTGATAAACCGGGCGTTTCAAACGGTCCCTCTGCGGCGTGGCGGCGAGCTGAAAGCATTCCTGGGCAGCAGAGCGGGAGGTTTCCTGGAGGAAGGGCATTTCAGGCGCGGGGTGTTCATGCGGCTCCGTGCCCACTGACAGCGGGACAACCCCGGGGCAAAACGGGCGGCGCTGCGGAGAGTCGCTGAGGGATTATTTGTCATCACCATCCCCACTGAGCGCTGGGTGCTGTACGGATACGTGTTTGTCTTAACTCTGCACAGCACCCCGGTCTGAGCGCTGGGGACACAGCCCGGCAGCTCCTGGGGTCACACGAGGCGATGCCCCGCATGCTGCAGGACGAGCAGCGCCCGGCCCCGCACGCAGCCCCGCCCCGCCCGCGGTGCCAGAGGGCAGCGGAGCGCAGCTCCCCTCCCGTTCTCTCCCCTCCCCTCCCCTCCCCTCCCCTCCCCTCCCGCAGCACACCTGGCCCGGTGGGAGGGAGCGGCCCTATATCCCGGGCGCTCGGGGAGGGGCTGTGTCGGATCAGGGGCTGAGCGGCTGCAGTGCAGGTACCGTGCGGAGCCGCCTTCGGGGCACATCTCGGCGCTCTCTGTGCTTTTATTTCAGTTCTTTCGGCTTTCCCTGCTGGCGTTGGTTGTGGTTGCGTTGTTTCTTTCTTCCATCCCTTCCCTCCCTCCTGCTCAGCACGGTGCCGTTTGCTGCCCGTGCGGTGCTCGTGGGGTGGGGGAACGCAATCGCTGTGCGTTGGGGCCGCGCAGCTCCTCGGCCGGGGGGTCCCAGCAGCGTCTCAGTGCTGCTGTGATGCTGCTGCCCGGCGATCCGGGCAGCGTTTGTGTGGGAGCTGTGCGAGTGGCTGCAGACTGCAACCCCCCCATCAGGCAGCGGGTGTGAGCAGGGCAGTGCTGTGATATGGGGAAGGGGGGGGTGAGGAGGTCCTCATCCCGTCCTGGGGTCCTGTCCCACATGGGGACATCGGTGCTGTCCCTATAGGATGTGTGGTGGGACTGTAGGCATAGTGGTGTGCTTAAACCTCTGCCGGGTCCCCTGCAGCAGCTCCTTCCCTGCCCCTTCCCTTAGCACCCCCAAATTGTGGGGGAATGGCCCCCAGCGCTGCAGCTTTTGGTGAAATAAGGCTGTGTAACACAGCCTGCTAGGGAATCCTGCCTTCAGGCTGCAGGAATCTGGGCAGCAGGAGGAATCCGGGCTGCAGCTCCAGAGAAGGTCTCATGTTCCCGTAACTCATCCCAAGCATTCCTGGGATTAGCCAACACCATCTATTTCTGGACAGAGCTCCTCTGGAGGTGCGGCCCTGCTGTGAGCCCCGCCGGAGGGAGACAGAGGATCCCGGAGGGGAGGAGAGGGTCCTCAGAGGGAAGGGAGGAGCAACTGGAGCAGTGATTCCACTCTGCAACCACTCCACCTCCCAGAAACGCGTGATGCTGTTTGCTGCTGAGCTTCCAATGGCTCTCACTGGGGTGCACTGCCCCTCCTTGGGCTCTCGCTGCCCCTGGTCCCAGTCACCCCTGCAGCTGCAGGGCTGTGCAGCTCCGTGTCTGCAGCCAAGCACTCTGACCGTGGCAGCTGTGTTGCTCAGCTCAGCAGCACGCCCTGCTCATTGGAGCAATCACCAAGCAGCACCACGGTCATTAAGCTGGGTGTGCTGAGCTCTGTAGGTCAGACTGTCTCAAGGCTCTTCCTTGTTGACAGCGTCCCAGGCTCGTATTTTGGGGACAACCACCCCAGCTCGTCAGCTGCCAGGCCTGCGTTGGTCCTGGCTCTGGGTCCCAGCTCAGCTGTCTGTCCCAAGGAATCACATCAGGACGCTCAGGAGGACTCCGTCCCACACACGTGGGGCTCCATGTGGCTGCTGCACTGCGGTGCCCACAGGCCATGCTCTGCCCACGTGCGGGCGTTTATCGCTTCCATTTCCTCCAGCCTTGTTCCTCCCCGGTGCTTCCATGCACCCAGAGCGGTGCTGGGCCACGTTCCGGAGCCCTGTACAGTGCTGTGGGCAGCTCTTGCAGACCCGGGGTCTGGGGTGAGCCCGTCATGGGAGGGCAGGAGCTGGTTGCAGCATCCGGCAGGGGGGAAACGAGAGGCTCAGTCGGGCTGTGCGCTCCTGGAAGCGCCGCCGGCTCGTGCGTGCTGCACGTTACTTCTGTCCCCGCTGAAATTAAATCCAGCCGCGCCGTGCGGGCGCTGACTGAGCCAGGCAGCTCCGCTCCCCGCGGGGGAATCCAATTTTTGCTCGGCTGGGCTCGTGGTTCTGACCTGGGATGACTCTTCCTTTCTATTGAACAAACGCTCCCTCCGGCCAGCGCTGCTGGGCGGGTGGGGGTGGGGACGGGGGTCCGCTCAGCGCGCACTGCTGGGGCAGAGGAGCCCTCAGGTGCCGCCGGGCATCGCTCCGCACCGCGGCCGCAATGAGTCACTGCTGCCAGACGCGACGGAACGGAGCGCGGCCCCCGCCCACGGGGCACCGTGTCTGCTCCCTAATCCTCTGACTCCACTGTTAATCAGCCGGAGATAGGCCAGCTAATTAGTCAGGCGTTCGGGCCTGGTGCGAGAGAGGGCAAATATTTTGGGAGGTGCATTGCGGTGTTTGCATTACGCGCTGCTCTGCAGGATGTGGGGCAGCCCTGAGCTCCTGGCCGTGACGTCCTACGGGTCCCCCCAGCGGCGCAGCGCTGCCCGGGAGCTGAGCTGTCCTGAGCTCTGGGATGCTGCACCTCAGCTGCTCTGATGGGACAGGACGGTTTTCCTCATCCTGAGGAGCACGAGTGAGGTTCCCCATTGCGTTTGCTGGCAGCCACTGTTGCTGTCTGTGCCTGGTGCAGCCGCTGGGAGCAGGGAATCCCCCCACCCAGGGGCCACTACTGCATTTCACTCCTTACAAGAAAATGAGCACTAATGCATCTTCTCAGGCTGCCAAATCCTGGGATGCACAGTGACTGTCCCTGCCCTCACCCGGCCATGCAGTGGAGGTGGTGCAGAGCAGGACAGGCCCTTTCCTGCATCGCTTTGTGCTCCTGCTCATAGTTTCTGCTGCAGCCCCTGCCCGCAGCAGCCTCGTGTAACACTGCTCTCCTGCATTCCTCAGATTCCTCTTCTGCTGGAGCTGTGGGCCAAGGAGGAGCCCCGGCTCCGTGGGGCCGACGTGGGAGCAGCAGGAAGAGGAGGAGGAGGGTCGGTGCTCAGCCATGTCGCAGGTCATCCACAGCCACGTGCTGCGCGTGGGGCAGAGTGTGTGCGTCCCGTCCCAGGAGGGCGCCCCGCGCCTGCCCGCCCCGTGCTGCTACTACTCGACGGACGCCTGGGCTGAGCCCGGCGCTGTGCGCTGCACCGCAGCCCCGCTGCCCCCCCGGGGGCTGCAGGGAGGTCACCCCGCAGCGCAGGAGCCGTCCCTGCGGCAGGAGGACGTGGGCACAGAGCCCAGCACCCACCTCGGGTCGCCCATCTTGGACATCTCCATAGAGAACCTCAACCGGATGATCCTGGAGCTCGACCCCAGCTTTCAGCCGCTCTCCTGCCAGCCGAGGAAGGACGCGGCCGTGCCTGCTGCCCGGGGGGGCGCTGCTGGCACCCCACTGCACGACGTGGAGGCAGCAGGTGGGCGGGGGCTGAGGGCTCCCACCTCGGGCTGAGGATGAGGATGGTGTGGGTGCAGCGATGTCCTCGGTGGGACCTGTGTCACATCGGTGTGTGATGGGAAGGAGGAGGGGCTGGGTGCCCACTCACCCCCAGAATGTCACGCCTCCCATACTCAGTGGGACCCCAGAGCAACCAAGGAGAGCAGCTTTTAATCCAGGCTCATATTTACTCGCCTATGTTTGGAGAAGGAATTTCCCATGAGGAATGGGATGTGTCACTCAGAAAGCTCCTGGCCCACACTGCTGCCAGCAGTGAGTGCAGATGGGCAGTGACACACTTGACCCCACAGAGCCCCATTCCTGTAGGAGGGCAGTGGGGCCCTTTGTGGGTCACACTTCACCCACAGAACATTGGAACTTGGAGCCAAATCTCCAAAGCCCTGGGCTAAGGTGCTGCTCATTGCACAGCCACCCCTTGTTGATGTTCCCCAGCGTTTGGCCAGGGAAGTTCTATTTTCAGGGCTGCGTGCTCCTCCAGCAGCATACCCCATACCTGCAGCACAGAGCAGCACACACAGCCCGCTCCTGCTCACACACTGGGGTGCTGCACGCCAGCAGTTCTGCAGTGCATCATCCCCCCCAGGTGCTGTGCTGCTCCCAACCCCAGGGCTCTGCTGACATCTGTGCAGTGCTGGGGGCCCTGTGCTGCAAGGTGGCTGTGATGCAGTGCAGGGAGGTGCACTGAGAGCAGCCAGGCTGCACAGTGCCCAGCTGTAGCCTTAGGCACCAAAATGCCATGGAAATCTGCTTGCAGTCCCCCTTCCAGAGATAACATCCCACCCTTCAGGCCTAAGGGTGTGGGGAGACCAGTTCTCCCTGGTTCCTTTTGGGAACTCCTGTGTGTGCTGTGGGGTTGGGAGAGGATGAGGGGTTCGTGCTGAGCCCCAGCTGGGCAGCAAGGAGCTGGGAATGGGCGCGCAGGGTGCGGCATGTGGGCACAGCACGGGGCTGGGGCGTTCCCCATGCGGCTGCGCCTCGTGCTGCACTAATGGGAGGGGTGGCCTTGCAGATAAGGGCTGTGGCAAAGTGCACGTTGGGCCCTTTTCTCCTCGTGCTGCTACTTTGGGCAGTGAGGTGGGCAGCAGTGCCCGCCCATGGCCCCCAGCAGGCAGCATGCTGCTGGATTGGGAAAGCTGGCACTGTATGTGGGACCAAGCAGCTGGCAGTCCGACCCTGTGCTTGGTGGGAAAAGCCTTGCTTTGGCTTCCATTTTGTCTTAGCAGCTCTTTTTCTGTGTAGGCTTCGTTGCTGCAGTGTGGGCAGCACCCATCCCTCGGGCTCCATCTCCTCCCCAGCAGACACGCAGCCCCGCACCGACCCTGCGGCACTTTCCAAACCATTTACACACCCTCCTTTCTGCCCGAGGTGCCGCTCAGCTCCTGCAAACCAGACAGGGCTGGCAAGAGGCTGCCTGCACCCGGAGGCACGTGGGAGGGCTTTGCTCTTCTCTGATGGGAAACAGTGTGGGTTTTGATCCTCTACGTGGCAGGAGAGTTTCCATCGCGCAGCGGCAGTGGAAGCGCCTGGGAGCAGGGCTGGGTTGCTGCTGGTGCTGGCAGGGAGCAGCCCTTCAGCCCACCCCGTGCTCCTGCTGCCGCTCCTTGGTGCTGAGCAGCATGCCAAGAGCCCGAGCAAATATTTGAGGTTTAACCACACCTGATAAGCAGGAGCCTCAGTGGGAGGCACAGGGCTTCGCCAGCCCGGAGCATGAAGGCGTTTCAGTTGTTGTTTCTTCAAAGGAGGATATTTTTCTTTTTGAGGGACACGCTGACAAGCAGTGCCCAGCCAGCAGTGTTTGCGTGCTGATGCTCCGAGCAGCCCCACGCTCCCACTGCCCACACCAGGAGTGCAGCCACGCTGCACGACGGCTCTCCTGCCTGCAGAGCACGGCTCAGAAGGGCTGAGCGCGGTGCAGGAGCTGAGGACAAAGCTGGGCATGTTCAGAGCGAGGCGCCTGGAGCGGGGGGTGAATGCAGCCCCAACCCACTGCCTGCTGCTGCAGGCTCTGCTGGCTCAGCCCGGAGTGCCGGCGTGTTCGGGGATGCAGAAGGAAACGTGGGTGGAAATCCACCGGCTGTGGTGTGCAGCCCCTCCCGGGGGGGTCGTGCCGTGGTGTTCGTGAGCCCTGCAGCTCAGGTGGCTGCTCCGTGCTGCGTGCCCAACTGCAAAAACAGAGCAAGCAAAGAGGCTGTGAGGTGCAGCCCCACCCCACTGGGAAGCATCAGAGTGAGGGGGGACCATGTGGGCCAGACCCCCCCGGCCTGACGTCACGTTGGATGATTTTCCCTTGAGTCAGACACAAACACAGCAGCTGCCGCGGGGAGCACCCATGGCAGGTCCTGGCAGGCAGCGTGCGGTGCTGGCGTGGGGGGGTCTGGCAGACGTGGCTGCATGTAACCCTCCTAGAGCCAGCACTGGGGGTTGGGGTTGGGGTTACCCAACAGTGCTGGATTGTAACGGCCCTTCTCCTTCTGCCTCCAGACATTAAGTACATCGAGATGACACCGACCAGAGCCAAGTGCACCGAGGTGCTGCAGGGCTCCCCCAGCCCTTTCTCCAGGTCTCCCCAGAGCAGCGGCTTCCTGCCCCACCCAGCAGCACCCAGAGGGCACTGCACCAACGGCAGCGTGGTGTTCTCCAGCCCTGCACAGCCCGACAGCCCCCACTTGGCCCCCCCGGGCTGCTCCGTGTCCAACAGCATCGCCGTGCCCCTTCCCCGCGCCGGGCAGAGCATCTCCCCCCGCACGTCGCCAGGTGCCGACCAGCTGCTGAAACCCATGCAGGCTGTGAGGGCGCAGCAGAGGGGCAGCGAGGCGTCCCTGCTCTCCATGAGCCCCAGCTCTGACACCAGTTACATCTTTGGGAGGTGAGCGCAGCCCTGCGCCCCGCCTCAGGCTGGCGGTGGGGGTGGATGGGGTACCCCGGTGCCATTGTCCCAGCCCTTATCCATTAGGGTGGGAGCGACGGCAGTGGTGTGGGGTGGGCTGTGGGCAGGTGCGTGCATGGTGCCCCAGCCCTGCAGCCCCTCCTGACGCCTCCCTCCTTCCCTCCTCCTGCAGCAGCACCCACTCGCTCCACGCCAGCGACCCCGACGCCGCCTGCCCATCCCCCCCCGGCTTTGTGGGCAGCCCCCAGACATCATCACCTGGCACCAGGTCTTGTTCTGGAGAAGCTCTGTGCCCCCCCCGGCCCCCCGCAGCCTGCCCTGTCCCACCCAGCCTCTCCCTGAAGGGCCAGGCCAGCAGCTGTCCACCCTCCATCCTCCCCGATGTCCCGGTGCTGCTGGTCAATGGGTGCTTGGAGCCAGGCGGGATACCCCTCCCCGGCCTGAGCACAGCCCCCCCAGCCCCTGTGCAGCCCAGCCCAGGGCTCAGCAACCTGAACAACGCGCTGTCAGCACCCACGCTCACCTGCGTCCCTGACAGTAAGTGCTCTGCTATGGGGCAGCTCTTGGGGGGAAGTCCATCTATGGGGGACGGACGTGAGGAATGTGGGGTCCATGCTGGAGCTGGGGGACCTCAGGGCATCCCCATGGCATGCAACTCCTTGCTTGGGGAGGTGGGGGGGACCAGCAGTGCTCTGGAGGTGCAGATGCACTCACTGATGGCAGCTGAAAGCGAGGACCGTAGCGCTGTCGGTTCATATTGGTGTGGGGCCTGGAGCTGGGGGAGGAGGATGGGGTTCCTGTTTGCTCTGGAGGACATTAAAGGTACCGAGGTCTGTGAGGTCCCTCATTCAGGGCAGACAATGGAGCTGTTGTGCTCCAGGGAGATCAGCAGAGGCAGCTCTCCAGGCATGGGGGTTTAATTGGGATTTTCGTGGGAAAAGCAGGAGAGCTCTGCGGGTCAGCAGGACGGAGCGACCCCCGGCAGGGCCATGCTCCTCACAGAGGTTGGGGTCCCCAGCTCTGCTCACCTCCCCCGCAGGTCCCCTCCGGGCCGAGCAGCCCACCTTGAAGTTTGTGATGGACACCTCGAAGTTCTGGTTCAAGCCCACCATGAGCAGGGACCGAGGTGAGGGTGGGCGCGATGGGCAGCCCTGTGCCTGGGGTGGGGAACCCCGCTGCACTGGGCTGAGCCCCACTGTGCCCCACAGCCATCCAGCTGCTGCAGGACCAGGAGCCGGGCGCGTTCCTGGTGCGGGACAGCACGTCGTACCGCGGCTCCTTCGGGCTGGCCATGAAGGTTCCCGGCGCTCCAGGTGGGGGCCCGGCGGGCGGCACGGGGGTGTCACCGAACCCAGCCCCACAGCGCTGACAGCCCCTCCGTGTCACCCAAAGGTGATGACAGCAGCGACCTCGTCCGGCATTTCCTCATCGAGTCCTCGGCCAAAGGGGTTCACCTGCGGGGCGCCAGCGAGGAGCTGTACTTCGGTAAGGACGGAGGCGGCACGGCCGCGATGCCACCCCGCCCCCCCCACTTCGTGCCCCTCCTCCCGCACTCCCCGGGGCACCTGTGGGGCCGAGTGCTGACCTGCTCGGTGCTGCAGGGAGCCTGCCCGCCTTTGTGTACCAGCACGCCATCACCCCGCTGGCGCTGCCCTGCGCGCTGCGCATCCCTGCCCAAGGTAGGTGTGAGCGCAGTGCTCCTGCAACCCCCCCCGTGTCCCAGCCCGTGCTGCGCTGCTCCGAGCGTCAGGCGGCCACGCCAAGCAGTGAGCATGGAGCAGCCCAACCCACAGCGTCTGTGCCCCGCGCAGATCTGACGGATGGAGAGGACAGCCCCGACTGCGGCCCCGGCCCCGCGCAGTCCCCGCTGAAGAGATCCGCAGGTGAGCGCGGGAGCGGAGCTGAGCTGTGGGTGTGCTGGAAAGGCAGTTCTTGAGGTCCCGAGGCGGATGCTGACCCCAAAGTCCTCCGCTTTCACACCGGCTCCAGTTTTTAAGGCTCTCTCCCCATTGCCTTCACTCAGGGCACCGAAGGGGGGGATTCCCAGGGGAGGGATGGGGAGCAGGGGCTGTTTGGAGCTGTTGCTCCACTGAGGGCCCCAGTGGGGGTGGGTGGGGGCTGTGAGTGGGAGTGGGGCCAGGGCAGCGCTGGTGTCACAGTGCGGTCACTGCTGGAAATTCTGAACAACGAGTTGGCAAATGGAAAAGTTCAGCCTGACCAGGAACAGCACAGTCAGCCCCGAATGTCATGTCTTCAGCCAGCCCTAAGCTGTCAGCTGGCCTGGGGGGCTTCTGCTTTTCATTACTAGAAGTATGCAATAAACAGAAGTGGAAAAAAAGCCAGATCTGACATTTAGAAACCAAAAATTAAACATTTTGACTTTTAAAACAATGAGCACAAAGCATTTGAGTAAACTGGAATGCACATTCGCAAAGAATTTCCACGTCCCCCAATCTCTCATTGTCAGCAGAACTGAACCTGACCCAGCAGCACTGCTCCCATCCTGGGACTGGGGACTGCAGGGGGGCAGTGTGATGCCCCAAGGATGCTGTAGGGACGTCTCAGGGATGCTGCAGGATGCTGTAGGGATGCGGTGGATGCTGACCCCGCTGTGTGCTGTTCCCGCAGAGTGCAATGCGCTGTACCTGGGCTCGGTGAGCACGGAGACACTGGTGGGAGCCCCGGCTGTGCAGAAGGCCACGTCCTGCACCCTGGAGTTGGACCCGCTGCCCACACCCACCCTCGTCCGCCTGAGAGCGTCGGAGCAGGGCGTCACACTGACGGACGTGCAGAGGAGGTCGGGGCTCAGGGCAGGGCAGCTCTGCTTTGCAGGGCTCCCTGCGTTCTGCAGCACAGAGCTGTGTTGCAACATCCCTGTGCTGACAGCACTGCGCGGCGCTGCGCTCAGGGCCGTGGGCGGCGGTGTTCCGGCGGTGCTGGGATGCTATGGGGCTGTGCGTTGGTCTGAGAACCCGGAACCCCCGTGGTGCCCCCCGCCCTGACGCTGTGCCCCCTCCCCACAGGGTGTTCTTCAGGCGGCACTACCCACTGACTGCCGTCCGGTTCTGCGGGATGGACCCTGAGGGCAGGAAGTGAGTGTGGGGCGCAGGGGGGCAGTGGGGCGAGAGCTGCTGTGCAGAGCTGACCCTGAAATGTTCTCCTTCCTTTAGGTGGCAGAAGTACTGCAAATCCTCCAGGTGAGAGCCCGACCCTGATGCGAACGGGGGTGGCTGAAGTGGGGATGGGTGGGGGCTCTGACCTCACTGCACAGGGGAGGTGAGGGGCTCAGCTCTGTGTCCCCAGACGGGACCCCCGCCTTAGGCCCCTGCCCCCCCCCGGGCACAGGCAACAGCGCGGCTCTTCCTCTCCTTGTTGGAGGACGCAGTGCTGCCAGAATGCTTCTCCCGGCCGCTTTCCTTCCCAGCAAACGTGACTGGGGTGCGGGCCAAGGAGGGGATGGAGCGGGATCAGTGCTGGGGCTGTTTGGAGCGGGTCCCTCTGCAGCTCAGTGCCTCTCCCTCTCCTTTTCCAAAGAATCTTCGGGTTCGTGGCCAAAAGCCAGATGGATTCGGAGAACCTGTGCCACCTGTTTGCAGAGTACGACCCTGTGCAGCCAGCAGCACTTGTCATCGACCTCATCAGCAAACTGCTGCCCGCCCCTTAGCGCCCGGCCACTGCCACACGCTGGGATAGGATGGGAGTGCTGAGCCCCATCCCTGCAGCCACGGCCCTGTGCCCCCTCCCCATGGAGAGGGGGAGGTCTGGGGGCACTGTGGCAGTAGAGCAGCATCACGGTGTCTGAAGTCAGTGGGCTGCGCTGGAAGGTCCCAGTCTCCTCTGCAAGCACCAGTGGTGGCAGAGCTGCCAGCACGGCACAGCTGTGCCCAACGCCTCCGAATTCTTCTGCCCTTTCTGCAAAGCCATGCCTCACGGCACCGCGACCTCCTCACATCACCACAGGCTGAGAAATAAACGCTGACATTTTCACGACGGTGAAACATGGGGATTTGGAAGGAACTGGGACGCGTTTGGGCCGGAGCCCTGGCTGACGTCAATGGGCTCAGCCCTGCAGCACTGGGTCTGCGCAGACCCTCCTCCCCCCGCGCTGCTCTCATTTCGGACTCTGTGCCACGCGGCCCTCTGGGGGGGTCAATAAATCAGCGCATTGTTTATCTCACTGCAGTGATTTAGCAACTGAAGTGCAGCACTTTGCTGCCCGCAGTGCTCAGCCCCGTCCTGCAGCACGCTGCCCATCTGTCGGCCAGGAGCCACGTAGGAGGGCTGAGCACCATTTGAGCTGTTCTCATTGAGCAGTGCCATCCCTGCGACCCGCACTGCGTGACCCGCAGGCAGCGCTGCTGCAGCTCCTCGGGTTTATGGCAGCGCTGCCCTGAGCGCTCAGGGAGCAGAATTCAAACGCTTTGGCTCTGAGCGGCTCCGGGGGGAAGCGCTGCTGGTGCCGCCCAGCCGGGCCCCCCCCCCAAACAGCTCCGGTTTGCAGCGCTCGCCAGCAAAGCGGGGGCTGATCTGCAGGGAGGGGTACGGCTGCTGCCGCCTCCCTCCAGCCCGACCGGGAGCGGCTCCAGGCACCGCCGCCCGCAGTGGGAGTTCTGCGCTTGCTGAAATCCCTTTTCCAGGGAAGCGCTGCAGGAGGGGGGGAGTTCAGCCAAAACCACCCGGATTTAGGAAAAAACAAACAATTCCCTGAGCGATGCGCGCCTCCAACGGCCGTCCTTCCTGGAAGCTCACTGTGCCCGGTCGGCTCGGGGCGCCCCGTGACGCAGCCAGGACCCGATCTGTGAAGGGGACTGCATGCTGTCAGCCCCCAAAGGGGGCACGGGGGTGGCACAGCGCTGCCCAGAAGCACCCACTTTGTGCACTGAGGGGCCCACGTGGGCATCCCATCTCCACACAGCCCGAGGGAAAGGGAACACGGCCATTAAACGCAGCAACAGCTTTTTCTTTTCTTTTTTCTTTTAACAATACAAAGCTTCAAGTTTACTGTAAAAGGAAGGATGGTGCTACACAGAGCCTGAGCGATGGGGTCGTCCGATAGGGAACTACGATCGCATCAGTGCAGAAAAGAGACGGCAGGGTCACGGTGGGGTCACGGTGGGGTCACGGCAGGGTCACAGTGGGGTCATGGCGGGGGATGAGGGCCCTTATGCTGGTACACGGCAGCGTGTAACTGCAGCAGCACAGCAGGAGCGGCGGTGTGCAGCGCTGACCCTGCAGGACCCCCACCCCGCGCTCAGCCCCACCCCCGCTGCCATTTCACACCCAAAGGACACGGAAACCCGTCCTGTTTGCACCCCATCTGAAGACGCGAGGGCAGCGACCACGAGCTGGGGGGGGTGGGGGGAGCGGGAGCGGCTCGGCGCCGGGCACGGAGCAGAGCATCCCGCCGCCGATGGATTTAAATACTACAAATGTAGGGAGGCGGCGGGGTCTGGGGCTGCACCAGGAAGAGCTGACGCCGTGGCTGCCCCACCCCGAGGTGAAGGTCCTTATTGCTCATTGCGGCCCCCGCCCCACGCACACAAAGGCAGGTGACGGCAGGTGGCAGCGGGGGGTCCCTCCCTCCCCTCCCTGCCCACGCCGGGGGGCCGAGGCACTTCTCGTGCTGCGCGCTCGGGGCGGGCGCAGGGAAGGCACTGCGCGGGGGCTGCGCCGGGTGCCTGCAGGCAGGGAGGGGTGCAGCGCTGCTTTCTCCTTGATGCATCTCCACCCAAACAGCCTGAAAGCAGCCCTGCTGGCACCCGGGCAGCGTCCATCTGTCCGCACCAGGGTCTGTGCGGGACGGGGATGCCACCAGCGGCTGCTGGGTGGCGGTCACAGCGCTGGGGCGACACGGTGCTGCGTGCCGTGGGCGGAGCAGGGCAGTGATGGGGGGCACGCGGGGGTCCCCGGGCGCCAGGAGCTGCTCAGCAGATGTGTCCCCTCTCCTCCACGGCCCCGGCGGGCGGCCCGGCCGCGCTCACGCTCACATGCTGTCTGCTGGCTGGTGGCAATCCAAGTCCCCCTTCAGCTCCAGGAAGCCCGGCAGCTTCACCCCCGTCTTGCGGTCCACGCACCAGCACTTGCCCCGCTGCCCGTCCAGCGCCGGGTGACACTGAAGGGAGGTACAGCTTCAGCGAGTGTCCATGGAGCCACGACAACCCCGCGGGCTTCTGCAGCTCCTACTGAAACCCAGCGCCCGCCACATCCCCCACCCTGCAGAGTGCCCCCGCCGTGCAGCCCCCCGCCCTGCCCACCTGCTTGGGGTGGAAGTTGCCATTGCGGTCGCAGTTGGGGATGGGGATGACGTAGAGATCCTCGTGTGTCCGTGTCTGTGAGGCCGCCAGTCGCTCCAGTGCGCGGTGCAGCTCGCTCTGGCACGAGCCCTGTGCCTGCAGGGAGGGGGGAGCTGAGCTCTCGGCAGGGCACCATGCACCCCCCCCACCCCACAGCCCCACTGTCTGCCAGCCCCCCTCCTGCCCTGCTGCCCCCCAGTGCTCACAATGGGCCGGGTCTCCTCACGGTGATTTGGGCTCCCGCTGCTGCGCATCTTATTGCCGTTGTTGACGCGCTTCGCCTGCTGCTTCTGCAGGCACTTGCGGTCGTGGATGCTGCAGGGGCTGAAGCTGTTATTGGGGTGTTCGACCTCCTCCTTCTCTGCAAGGACACAGCAGGGCTCAGCACTGCAGGGCAGCCCCCGCTGCTCCCCCCACGCAACGCCCCGTCCCTGGCACAGCATTGGGCTGAGACCCCTCACAGCACAGGGAAGGGCTCTCAGGAACTCTTACTGCTCATTCACAGTTTGTTTCCACGTGGCTGCTATTGCAGGGTTGCAATTCACTCCTGGAACACTGCACAGCACTGGGGTGCGCCCTGCCAGCCCTGTGCAGCCACTGGGCACCGGGGGGTGGTGACCCCAGGACACGCAGAACACCAGCCAACCCCTGCAGCCCCCAGAACTGCAGCAGGACCGGGGCTGCAGGGCCCCACCAGGTTCTGCTCGGGGTGCACAGCCCCAGCCCCCCACTCTCCTTCCGGGAGATGAAAGCAAGAATTCCAGGAATAGGACAGTCCACCTCCTGCTGGCCGGCCCGGGGGGGCGGCGCTTGGCATCTCCTCCTGCGCCCACACGGAGCCAAACTGCAATCCCAGATGTTGGCAGCTGGGAGGGAACGTCATGAGACCGGGGCTGCTCGGTGTCCATTGGGCTGCAGGTCCCCCTGCCTCCAGGCCCAGCGATGCCTTTGGGCCACGCACCACTCTTCCTGCTGCGTGGAGGGGTCTGATGCTGTGGTATCAGTGCCTGGAGAAGGGCCGGGCACTGTGTACCTGGCGGCAGCTCCTGGCTGCAGAGGGTCACTGAGCAGCTCCCAGTGTCCTGGGTAAAGTTCACAGCCCACCTGGCTGGCAAGCCCTTCTCCATCACTGTAATATTTGCTTTTTGTTTAAACTGTTCTTTTTTTTCCAGGAAGCGGCTCATGCCCTTGACATTTGAAACACAAACTTGACACCCACTGAGGAGTGACACCAGGACCCCTGGCAGCCCCTTTCACTGTGTCACATCCCCACGGCACTGTATCACATCCCCATGGTGATGTGTCACATCCCTGCAGCCACAGGGACTCACTTGGGGACGCTGCTCCTCAGGGACGCCTGGCACTGCTGGGGCCACCACAAAGTCCCAGTGCTGCTCCCATGGAGGGGACACAGGGCACAGAGTGGCACTGCTCCACACCATAGCCCGGCACAGGACCAGAACCCCCCGCTCCCAGCCCAACCCCCCTCCCCCCTCCAGCCGCTGTCAGTGTCAAATCTCTCGGTTAAATAAAACCAGATGCCAGTAACATTTTCCTGAGGTCCCCAGGAGCGCGGTGCCTCCGGGCAGCACGGCGGCGCTCCGTCGGCACCAGCACCGCGCTCCCCACCGCGGCCCCCGGCTCCGGGCCCCCTCCCCACTGCAGGATGGCTGCGGTTCAGGGCGAGCTCCCACCCGGCCGAGGAGCCTCTCGCCTTCCTGCTGCTGGCAGCGCTCCTGCACCGAGCTGGGCGGCAGAACTCCTTCAAGTGGAGCACAAAGATCTGGGAAAAGCAAATTCCTCAGAGCCAGGAAGGAGACCTGGAGCTCGCGCTGCACCGGCCTTGCAGCACCAGCAGCACCACGGGGCTGCAGAGAGAGCGGCACGGGGAGGAAACCCCACCGCTGGGTTTGGGGTGCTGCCTCGGGAGGTCAGGGGTTTCTGCCTGGCCCGAGGACAGGAGCAGACATAAGCAAGGCATTCAGCGTCGCCTTCAATTAGCGGGAGCCACAAATGAGGTTTGTCACATGCTGAGCGTGTGATTCACAGCACCGCGCTCCAGCAGGAGGAGCCCCGAGGCAGCAGCGGAGCCCCGGATGGCGCCTGCAGGACGGGGACAGCAGCGCCGGCTGCACTGAGAGCCTGGGGTCAACTCAGGGACCCCATCCACACCCCGACAGCCCCGGTGACACCGCTGGGACAGGGCAAGAGCAGGTGCTGGCAGCATCCAGTCACTTTTTCCCAGACGTAACTATTTACCCATCATTAAGCCGCTCATGCTGTGTGCTGTGGGACGTCCTCACCTCTCCCCAGACGCCACCCGCAGGTCCTGGATGCCCGATGCAGCAGCCCTGGGGCACACACCAGGGCTCAGCCAGCACCACGGGGCAGTGCCGTGCCACCAGGGGTGGTGGGGAGGGAGCGATGCAGCTGCAGCCTCTGCCCCGCTGCTCCGGCAGCACTGGGTGCAGGTAGCAGGGCAGTGCCCCCTCCTGCCCCATAAGGTGCCCCAGGCGCAGGGCTCATGGCCGCCCACTGTCCTTTCCTGCCACCTGCGGCTCTGCCGGCCAGACACACGATCCCAGGGCCACCCACAGCCCCAGCTCAGCCAAACCAGCGCAGGAAACAAAGGAAAAAGCTGCAACTCCATTTCCTAAAGGCTCTGGGAAAAATATGCTGCGTTACACGGGGCAAAGCCAAAACCAACAGAGTTTGGCAGCCCGGTGCAGCCGTGGGCCAGGGAGTGCAGAAAGCTCCTGCAGGATGTGGGCTGGGGGCAGATGGGCAGCGCAGGGGGACCCCCGGCAGCACCGCACCAAGTGCCCACAGCCAACGTCTGTCTGGGGAGGGGCAGGGAGGGGGGACCTCACAAAGGGCCTTTGGCACGGGTGAAGGGACACAGCAGGGAGATGAGATGTCCCCTGTCCTGGGAGCCCCAGGTGACGCTGCACAGGAACCCTGGCAGAGGGCCACCCTCTACCCCAATGATGGGAACATGGGGCAGCTGAGCAGGGCTGCAGCCCCAGGGCTCCCCTGCCCCCACTGCCCCACCTGCATGCAGAGCTGTGGCCACGGCCCCACGCTGACCTGCCTGTGAGGGAAGCAGGTGCCCTGCAGCCTCTTTGCTGTTTCCTCCCAGCCGTGCCAGCAGCATCCCAGAGAGTGGAGCACCGGTGTCACCAGTGCACAACAGGAGCCGCTCTGTCAGCTCCCGGCCCAGGAGCTGTGCGGTGCCACCGCCGTGCCAGGACGCACAGAGGTGACGCTGTGCCACTGCCACGCCGCAAGCAGGTGGGGGTTGTCTGCAGGTGCTCCTCTTGCACCCACTGGCAGCACTGCCGTGCCGGGAGCAGGTGAGGACGGCACAGAGGCGACCCAGCCATGAGAATCCATGCAGCCCAGCCCCACTCCCTGCACCTCCAGGCTGCCCATCCTATTGCAGCTCCCCGTCAAGCCCCCCACTCTGCTCTCCCCAACCGACCGCGAGTGGCAGAAATCCCCGCCGACTCCATCCCGCCCCCCGCCCTACCTGGTGGCTGCAGGCTCTCCTGGATGGCCTCGACGTCGGCCAGGTCGGTGCAGACGCCCTGCCCGTGCATGAGGGTGTGCAGCGGTCGGGGCACTCCGCGGGGCGGGTAGCAGCGCAGCCCGGCCCCGCAGCGCGCCGTGTACACCCCGCAGGCGGTGCCCCGGCCGAGCGCGCAGGTCGCGCAGCAGCCGCAGCCCGGCTCCCGCACCAGCTCGGCGCAGCCCTGCGGGGCCTTGCAGCGGGCCAGCCGCTCCTCCGAGCACGGCGGGCACTGGATCGCCTCCTCCCCGCCGCCCGCCGGCCCCGCCGCCGCCGCCGCCGCCGCCGCCGCCAGCAGCAGCACGGCGGCCCCGCACATGGCGGCCCCGCGCCGCTCCGCTCGGCGTCGGGCTGGCGGCGGACGCGGGGCGGCGGCGGCGGCCGCTTTATGCGGCCCCGATGGCCACACCTCCCGCAGCCACCGGGGCCACCGGCGGAGCCGCCCCCGTCACCGCGGGGCTCCGGCAGCGGGCACCGGGAGAGCTCCGCCGCCCCGACCTCCTCGGTGCCGCCCGCGGCCCCTGCACGACCCCCCCGCACCGTCCCGTGCTGCCCCGCAGCCGTCGCGAGGCCCGTGTGCTGCCCGGCGCTGAGCCACTGGGACGGAATAGGAGGGACTGGGATAACGGGGATGGGGTAGAGCGGGAAGGGATGGACTGGGATGGAGTGGGGTGAATGGGAATGAACTGGGATGGGATGGATTGGGATTGGTTGGAGTGGGATGGGATGGAATAAATAAACTGGGACGAGATTGGGATGACATGGGATGGTCTGGGGTGGACTGAGATGGGATGGATTCGGATGTGATGGGATGGACTGAGATGAACCAGGATGGATGGAGATGGAACGGACTGGGACGGATTGGGATGGACTAGAATGCAGTGGGATGGACTGGGATAGACTGGGAGGCTGCACCGTGCAGGACAGCGCTGGAGCTCAGGTCCGAGCACGGGCCGAGCCCCCGGGCTGCCCCGACCCCCAGCGCCCCGCAGCGCCCAAAGCTGCGAACTGCGGAGCGTTGGGCGGGGGGGGGGAGGGCTGCGGGGCGGTGCGGGGAGCACAGGGAGCCACAGTGTGCCGGGCTGCAGCCTTCAGCCCGAGGGCAGGGAACCACAGAACCACAGAACCACGGAACCACGGAACCACGGAACCACAGACCATCCGGAGCTGGGAGGGACTCACAGGGACCACTGAGTCCAACCCTGGCTCCACACAGCAGCACCCAAACCAAACCCAATGTCTGCGAGTGGTGTCCCAACGCTGTGAGCTCAGGCAGCCGTGTTCCCCACCCACCTGGAAGGTGCAGAACCTTTTCCTGACACCCAACCCAGATCCAGCTTCAGCACTGCCAGGTGAGCACAGCATGCCGGGCACAAGCACGTCTCATGGGGCCCCATTCACCCCCCACAGACCTGGCAGAGCAGTGGGAGCTGTGACAGTGTGCCACCAGCTCAGCCTGGCTCAGAGGCACCAAACATCAGCCCCATTTGTTTCATTTGCCTTCTGCATGCACACAGCAGGGAGGGAGGTGCAGAGCATCAACAAGAGCCAACTGCGCTCCGTGCCTGCAGCCTGGCAGTGCTCAGAAGGGGCTGAGCCCACCGCAGCCCCCTGCACTCACCTCCCACCCTGCGCTCACACTGCAGTGCCAGCTGTGCCACTCTGGCCGCTCCCTGAGCACCTTCCATCCCCGCACCGTGAGCGGGGCAGCACCAGCTGGGGGAGAAATGCAAGCAGGGCTGGTGCCCCCCATGCTCCCCAGACCCCTCCTCCCCTCCTAGCAGAGCGGGGGCCCCACAGCCCGCAGCCCACAGCCCCTGCCCTGCCTGGCACAGCCACGGGGCACACGGTGGCCATGACTCGGGACAGAGGCGCCAGCCTTGACACAGCGTCCGAGCCGGGGCCAAACCCAAACAGGTGCCCGGCCTCGCGGCAGCCGCAGCTCCTTATCAGACCTTGGCAGCACCATGCGCCCGCCGGGGAGGCTGTTGTGTCTGCGGGGCTGGAGGAGCGGGAGCACGGGGAGCAGGGATGTGTGAGCTCTGCAGCCCCAGGGGCTGTTCCTCATCTCTGCCAGGCATGGGGCCTCAGGTCCCCGATTCCAGCACCGTCCTGCCCCATGAAGAAGGCAGGTGCACCCCACTGTAGTGCATCCAGCACCCCGAGATGCTTGGTGCAGCAGGGGACCCCCAGCTCTGAGATTCTTTGGGCTCCAGCTCTGGGTCTTTGTCCCACTGTGACACCCAACAGCTCCAAAGCCATCACAGCACCTCAGAGGGGCTGTGGGTTCCAGCAACGCAGTGTTGCAGGGGCAGAAGATGTCTCAGAGAGGGCTGCAGCCCCCCGGCTGAGAGCAGCTCTTCCAGAGAAGGCGGGCTCTGATGGAGCAGGGGGACATGGGCTGCACACATCCCTGGTGGGACATTGCTCCCTGTTGTGCCAGTGCCCTGCTCCCAGCCAGCCCCTTCCCGCACTCCCTCATGGTTTTACTCCCATTTCCAGGCAGCATCTCCTCCTCCAGACCCCTGTCCCTGACCTGGCTCCCTTCCCAGAGCTCCCATGTGCCCTCACTGCCCCGCACCCTCACAGTGAGCATTCAGCCCCATGCTGGATGCAGCCCGCGGGGGGGGATGCTGGGGGGTGAGGGGGCGTGTCAGGGACCACTGTGATAACAGCAGGGGCTGTGCCAGGGCATCAAAAGCAGACGGCACAGACGAGCGGGATGAGCCAGGCCCCCCTGTCTTCAGCACCCCGGGGCTGCAGCATGAGGCTGGGTTCCTCACGCCTCCTCCATGCCCTCTGCATCCTCTCAGTGCTGGCCGGGCTTCTGCCCCATGGCACAGCCCAGTGGTTCTACCCACTGGGCTCAGAAGACACCACTCCAGAGCCCGGCACCAGCCCCGCCACCCCCACGCTGCCCACCCTGGGTGGGGAGGAAGGTAGGTGCGCACCCCAAGCTCCCGGATCCGGTGAGGAGGGGACACTCCCATGCACTGGGAGCAGGGAGCACCTTGCTGCCCACATCCCCATCCTGCAGATGCTGCTGACACAGAGCCCGTGAAGAAGCTGCCGCTGAGCAAACCACCATTGGGAACGGACTCGAGGAGACGGGAGCCCTCTGCCAGGACCAAGGGCCGGGGCCGTGCCCTGCTGAACACACGAGCCCAGGTGCCCATCCCTGGCAGGAGCTGCACCCCAAGCCCCCCATCCCCACCCCGAGCCTCAGCCCATGCCAGGCCTGCTCTGCATCCTTCCCCTTATCAGCACCCAGCACAGCGCAGCCACAACAGTGCATCCCACACTGGGCTCCATCCTTGGAAATGCTTTCCCCTCTCTGCCCCTTGGAGAGGAGACCCTGGGGCCACTGCACAGCCCGCAGTGCACAGCAGTGCACCCCGCCGGCTGCATGCTGAGCTCTGCCCTTCTGCCCTAGCACAACCACCCCATGGCCACCCCGCAGATCTTTGAGGGCAGCGCAGAGGAGGAGGAGTTCCTGCAGATCAAGGTGCGGGGGGTGAGGGAGGGCTGGGGGGGGGCTGTGGAGCAGCTGGGCACAGGGGGCACGGGGCAGGGATGCAGGGGTCTCACTCTCAGTGCTCGTCTCTCCTGCGCAGACCACACCAAAGGGACTGCCCCAGCGTGTGCCCATGGCCCCCGGGCTGGATGTGACCCTGCAGGTGAGGGGGGGTTGGTGCCGTGCCCCCCATCCGCCATCCCCACAGCTCACAGCTCGCTCCCCTCCAGATGCACAACGGCTCCAGCTGCATCTGCCCTGCGCGCCCCGGCCCTCCCGGCCCCAAGGTATGGAGAGGGGTCCTGCGGGGGGCACGGGGGCTTGGGGATCTGCGGGGAGAGACCCCAGGGCTCTTTTCACCTTTTTCTGCTCTGGATTTGGATTCTTGCTTCGGAGTGTGCATTGCAGGGACAGTCCCATTGTCGGGGCAGGAGCCAGGCTCTGTCTTCATCCCAACAGGGAGAGAAAGGCGACCGCGGTTTCCCCGGGGAGCGGGGCCAGCCAGGGCTGTCTGGGGAGAGAGGGAGGACAGGCAGCCCGGGGCCGCCAGGTCACCAGGGGCCTCGGGGCCCCCCTGGACCACCGGGACCTCCAGGGCCACCGGGACCACCGGGTGCTGGGGGAGCCAGGAGTCCACCTGCACCCGCAGTGATCTCCAAAGAATCAGAGAGAGAGGTGAGAGGTGGAGAGGGGGCATCTGGGGTGGGTGACACAGGTGGGTGATGGAGGGACAGGGGATGATGCCGGGATGGATGGGCAGTTTTGGAGCTGCTGTGGGGTCCATCCCCAGCTGGACCTTCTGGGATTGGCAGGGCAGGGACACAGAGCTGCAGAGGTGGGTAGGGGGCCCACAGGACATGATGCTGCCATTCACCAATGCCACTCTCTCCTCTCTCCCTCCACCCTGACAGCTGGGAGCAGCCAGCCCCAATGGGAAGCCAGGACCCCCCGGCGCCCCAGGGCTGCCTGGCCCCCCCGGCCCCCCAGGCTACCCAGGTCATGAAGGCACTCCAGGGCTCCCTGGGCGGGAGGGGCAGCCTGGTCCCCCCGGCCCACCAGGGGCTGTGGGACCGCCTGGGTTCCCAGGGAGTGAAGGAGCACCAGGATCCCCAGGCTTGGCTGGGCCCGATGGCCCCCCAGGGGCACCGGGACTCCCAGGCAAACAGGGACCCCCTGGGGCACCTGGGCACGAAGGGCCCCCCGGCCCCCCCGGACCCGCGTCATTCCCTGGCAAACCAGGACTCCGAGGGGAGCCGGGATTCCCAGGATTAAAGGTAAGGAGGGGTCTCAGAGGGGGTTCCAGACTTTCCACCACAGACCCCAGGGGATGCAATGGGGCAGCGGGTTTCACCCAGCTCCATGCTCTGCTGCTGCGAAGCCCTGGGGAGACATGGGCCCCACACTCATGGCCCCATGTGCTGCATCCCGGCAGGGTGAGAAGGGTGAGCAAGGGCTGCCGGGCATGCCAGGGAGCCCTGGCCGCACCGGAGAGATGGGAGCCCCAGGGATGCCCGGTCCTATGGGACCACCGGGGCCACCAGGGGACTACAGGGTGAGTACAGGGCTGGGGGTGCTTAGGGTGGTCACAGTGCCCAGCGCTCAACCTGCACATCCCCTCCTCCCAGTGTGAACCACGCCACGCTGGGCACCATGGAGCCACTGGGCACCACGGAGCAGCTGGGCCACCGGGTCCCAAGGTGAGCAGGGCAGCAGGAACTGGTTTGGGTGCTCATAGGGGCTGGGATCACCTGCATCAGGGTGCTTATGGGACCGCTCTGCTTTTTTCAGGGTGAAAAGGGTGATCCAGGAGAGCGGGTTTGTATGGGGTGTTGCACGGGGGGAGCTGGTGGGGGTATGGGGGTGGGTGAGTTGCACCATCCCCTGCAGCACATGTGCACTGCACACCCAACACGTGCCCTTCCCCCCCGCCCTTACCCTGCCTCACTGTGACCCCCAGGGGTGCTGCTACGGGGAGCCTGGCTGCAAACCAGGCCACCTCCCGTTCCCCAGCCCTGGCAGCCAGCCCAGCGCCTGGTACCAACCGGTGAGTCCTGGGCTGGGGGTGGCAGGGGGGGTGGCAAGAGGAGCTCAGCCTCCATCTGCTCGTGTTCCCTTTGCAGCACAGCAAGGAAGAGCCGGATATCTATGGAGCAATCATTCCCCATGTGAGAGATTGCAGCCAGCGTGACGTGGAGCCGCCCACCCCAGAAGCAGCACCAAGCCACCCTAAATCTCCACACTGCTCTCCCTGCAGGGTCCCCGAGGTCCCCCCGGTCCGCCCGGTCCCCCTGGTCCCCCCGGAGCACCAGGACTCCTCTACCTCAATGTAAGGACCTGCACAGACAGCACACACCTCTGTGCCGCAGCGCACACGTGTGTGAGTGTGCAGTGTGAGGTTCTCCCCGTGCATCCTCCTGTTTCTGCTCACAGCGGGTGTACCCCATGCGCGGACAGCAGCCCTGCAAGCAGCCGGTAAGCTTGCTGTCCCCTCCCTGCGAGCTGCCACCGCCGTGCAGCTGTGTCCCAGCAGCAGCAATGGCCCCGTTTGCATTCACAGGCAGCGGCCAATGCAGCCTGGGCAGTGGGTAAGGGGCTCTCTGGGTATTTGGGTGAACTCCTGCCTCCTTGGAAGCACCTTTTGCAAAGCTTCGTCCCCTTGCATCGGGGTTGTCCTGGTGTCCCCATGGTGTTGGGGTGCCTCGTGACCCCAACCCTACCCCTAAAGCCAATCCCAACCCAACCCCAGTCCTACCTTTAACCCAAACCCTCCTCAGCTTCTCCAGATGCTGATGTTCCCCATCCAGAGCCGCTGGAGCCCAGCACCGACCTCCGGGTGCGTGGGGGGCTGTGCCCATGGGTAACCCCAATGTGTAGGCAGCTCCCCATGGGCAGGGGGGGTCAGCTGAGCCCTGACCGCCCTCCGTGTCCCTCCCAGCGCCAGACGTGGGTGTTCAGGTCTAAGGAGCTGATGCTGAGGTCTGGCAGCTCTGTCCCCGAGGGCAGCCTGGTCTACGTGCAGGAGGGGAGCAACGCCTTCCTGCGCACCCCCCGGGGCTGGAGCAGGCTGCTGGTACCGTGCTGGGAATGGGGGAGGGAGGGGGCCACAATGTGGCTGGCCCCCCCTAACTGCTCTTCTGCAGCTGGAGGACTCAGACTCGCTCTTCGTGGGTGATGACCCCTCCGCCTCCACGCCGCAGTACCAGGTGAGGCAAAGGGACAAACCCCCGTGGGGGGGTGCACCCCTGGGACTGCCCTCCCATCTCTGTGCAGGAGGCGAAGCAGGCACAGACACGAGGTCCCAACACAGAGCCACCCTCGGGGGCCCGAGCAGACTCACTGGTGAGCAGAGGGATGGAGGTGGCACCAGGAGACCCCGGGTGGCAGTGGGATGAGGAGGGGGATGCACCCTGGGCACTGAGACTGCTGTCCCCAGCGTCCCCGTTATTGCAGGTCCCGAAGGAGGATGGAGCTGGGCTGCCCAGCACCCTGCCGACCACCGCCGCCCCCAGGATGCCCTCTGTAAGCGTTTCCCCATTTCCTGGCCCCTTCCAACCCCACGATGCCCGCCCCCCCCCCATGTGTCCATGGGTCTGTGTAGACCTCGCTGCCCGACCCAGGGGGCTGCAGTGCCACGTGGGGTGCGGGATGACGGCACGTGCCCCGGCAGCTCCGGCCCCCCATGCGCTGCCACCCGCTGTCCCCGTAGCTCCGTCTGGTGGCCCTGAACGTGCCCCTCTCCGGGGACATGAGCGGCATCCGCGGCGCCGACCTGCAGTGCTACCGGCAGTCACAGGAGGCTCGGCTCTACGGCACCTTCCGGGCGTTCCTGTCGGCCCCCAGCCAGGACCTGGCCTCCATCGTCAAGAGGACGGACAGGACCCTCCCCATCGTCAACCTGAAGGCAGGCGGCCCCATCCCCGAGGGCTCAGCGTGTCCCCCCGGGAAGCACGGGCTCTCCGCGTGTTTTCCGATACGAACCCAGAGCCATTGCAATGGGGACAAGGGGCTTTGGGGGGCACTTGCCCCCCACCCGCAGCTCAGTGCCACCCCCACGTCCCCAGGGCCAGCTGCTGGCTCGCTCCTGGAGCTCCCTCCTGCAGAGCCAGGCTGGAGCCGCCCCGCGGAGCCCCATCTACACCTTCAATGGGCGCAACGTGCTGACGGACGCCCTCTGGTGAGTCCCGGCCCCGCACGTCCGCGGCATCACGCGAAGGTGCAAAGGGTGGGAGGACGGGGAGGGCTCCCCGGGGCTCCCCATCATCCCGTTGCCGCTCGCAGGCCCCGCAGGCTGGCATGGCACGGATCCACGCCGCGGGGCGGCCACGCTCAGCGCCGGGACTGCCAGGGCTGGCGGAGCTCCGGCCCCGGGGGCGGCCTGGCGGCCCCGCTGGGTCAGGGCAGGCTGCTGGCCGGGCGGCGGCACAACTGCTCCGAGGCGCTGGTCGTGCTGTGCGTGGAGGTCGCCTTCCCGTACCGCCACATGTGGTGACGGCCCCGAGCCCCGGGAGCGGGCAGGGAACACCGGGAGGACGTCCGTCCCGCCCCGTCCCTGCGCACAGCCAGCCCCGCACCTCCGGCACCGCCCCGTTCACGTTTCCCTCCGAATAAAAGATGAGAAAAAGCTGGCGTTCGGGCCAATGTTCGGCTTCCCTTTTTTGGAAGGGAACCTCTAAGGGAGGGACCTGGTTTGGGATGCCACCAGCTGCACGGAGGGACGAACCCCGTCAGGACAGCGCGGCGCTGGGATGCCGCCGCGGGGCTGCGGACGTTGCGATGGGGCTGAGGATGGGGGGAAGGGGCTGCGGGGGGGGGGAGCGCCGCGGGGTCGCAGCGCAGCTCCGCTCCGACAGCGGCCGGGGCAGCAGCGCCGTGCCGGCGTGGGCAGCGCGATGCGTGCGGCGAAGGCAGCGGCCACGGGCGGGCAGGGCAGCGCTGCGCAGGGCGGCCGTCCTGAGCGCCCCCCGCGGGGTGGCTGCGGGGCAGAGCGGCTCAGCGCCTCTTTGGGGCGGCGCAGGCCCAGCGAGTCCCAGCGCTGCCCGGCGGAGCCCAGCGCGCCCGCCGTCCCCATCCGAGCCGTCCGTCGGTCCTACGGCCCCCGCCCCGTCCTTCGAACAACAACGACCGAGCATGCGCACGGATCCGGCCGCGCAGGGCCCTCCCTTCTCGCTTCTCTATTGGTCTCCGGCTCTGCCCATCGAGCAGTCGCCCCTCTTGATTGGCTGGTTTTGAAAGAGCGGAGCGCCTCGCGGCCGGCTAGAAGGAGGCGGGGGCGGGCTCTACGTCCCCGTCGCCCTTCAGCGATTGGCGGCTTTCAGAGGGCGGCGCGCGGGGATTGGCGGAGCGTTTCGGCGGGCCCGGCGGAGGTTTGAAACGCGCGGCGCCGTTACCGGCCGCCATCGCTCCGCTCAGCGCCCCGCCGCCATGGAGCTCCCGGACTCCCCGGCGCCGCTCCGGGTGCGTGCGGGACCGCCGCCTCCCCCTCCCCGCCCCGCCCCTCGCTGCCCGCGGTCCCCGGGCCCCCCGTCCCTCCCCGGCCCCGCTCAGCTCCGCTCTCTCCCGCGCAGCCCCTGCACGACAACCCCCGCCTGCCCGCGGCCGATGGCGCCCAGAAGCGGCTCTCTGTGGAGCGCATCTACCAGAAGAAGTCGCAGCTGGAGCACATCCTGCTGCGGCCCGACACCTACATCGGGTCCGTGGAGACCGTCACGCAGGTGGGTGCGGGGCCGGGCCGGGCGCTGCCGGCGGGGCCCGGTGCGAGCGGTGTCGTATCCTCCTCCTTTTCAGCAAATGTGGGTGTTCGACGAGGAGCTGGGCCTCAACTGCAGGGAGGTGACCTTCGTGCCCGGCCTGTACAAGATCTTCGACGAGATTCTGGGTGAGTGCCGCCCGCAGGAGCCGCGCGCAGCACGGCTGTGTTACCAAGCCCGTTCAAACCCTCGGTTTTCCTTTTAATGCGATTTCGTGGCGTCCTTCCTCATAACTCGCCAGACGTCTGCCTTCCAAGGAGATGCTGGGCGGCACTGTGTTGGGTTTTTGCATTTGTTCTACTGAAAACGCCGCGCGATTCACACCTGTTGTTACATAGTATCATAGAATCACCAAGGTTGGAAAAGACCTAAAAGATCATCCAGTCCAGCCGTTCACCTATTACCAATAGCTCTCACTAAACCACGTCCCTCAACACCACGTCCAGTCTTTCCTTGAACACCCCCAGGGTCGGTGACTCTACCACCTGCCTGGGCAGTCCATTGCAGTGCCTGACCACCTTTCTGAAAAGTAATACTTCCCCATGTCCAGCTTGAATCTCCCCTGCCGTAGCTTAAAACCATTCCCTCTGGTCCTAAAGGTTATGTCTTTTGTCTTGCTTGAGAATACGCTCTGATAAAAATCACCTTTCCCTTCCAGTCAATGCTGCGGACAACAAGCAGAGGGATAAAAGCATGTCCTGCATCAAAGTTACAATCGATCCGTGAGTGCTGGTTCTGTTGAATACCTCCCCACTCAGCTGGCTCACTCCCTCACTGCTCTCATACATCAGTGTGGGTGCTGCAGAGCTCTGCGCCGAGGCCTGTTTGTGTTAAACCCACTGTGGTTCGTGGGCTGCAAAAGCCTCTTTCCTTGTGTGCTTTCTCGGTCTGCTGCAGAGCACAGGCTGCTGAGATGCCATGTTGTGGTTGTTGCAATTGTGGCAACTTCATGTTTTCATTCCACCATTAAACACATGCTTTGTGGTGGTCCATTTTATTGGTGCTCTCTGCAGGTCTGAAACTGGAGGGCTTTTTGTAGACTTGCCCTCCCTCTGCTGGCTGCTGCCGCACTTGCTGAACAGAAATCTGTTCTTGATGAAATGGTGGCCTTTCCCTAGAGATCCTGTGTGTTTGTTCCAGAGCTCAGCCATCTGCAGCCTTACAAACACGCTTTCCCCCTCCTCCAGAGAGAATAACACCATCAGTGTGTGGAACAATGGGAAAGGCATTCCAGTCGTTGAACATAAAGTGGAAAAGGTCTATGTGCCAGCACTCATCTTTGGACAGCTGCTAACATCCAGCAACTATGATGATGATGAAAAGAAAGTCACAGGTAGGGAACACTGCAGTACGTGCAAACATACCTGGGCAGGCTGATGAGTGTGCTCTGTGAGCTGAAGTACCTAGTGTAAGTAACTGGTGTTAATTAAATATGGTTTTATAGTGGCTGCAGGGTTTGTGGGACAGTGTTTATTGTTAGTCATACTTGGTGCTGAAGTGGATGAGCTCTTGTTAGTCTGGAATTGTCTCCGGTGGTTTTGAGCAAAGGTAACAACACAAACATGTTTTCCTCCTAAATCCAGGTGGGCGAAATGGTTATGGAGCCAAACTGTGCAACATATTCAGCACCAAATTTACTGTGGAGACTGCGTGTCGTGAATACAAAAAGTTGTTCAAGCAGGTATGAACGCTTCTCATTTCAGTGAGGTTGTACCTGAGATTTGCAAATTAGACTTGAGTTTTTCCTATATAAATCTAGGTGTCGTTGGTGTGACTAGAATAAACCCGGTCAACAGCTACTGTACAACTATGATTCAGACAAATAATGAGATCAGCAGACATAATCAGAATCTAGTTTTTAACCAGTGCTTTTTTCCTTAAAGTATTTAAAACTCCGAAGTCAGCTTGCTGCTGTTAGGAACTACGCTGGTTTCTTGTGTTTGTTGCATTCACAACTCTCAAAAACTCATCTTCTCAGACCTGGACAGACAACATGGGGAAGGCTGGTGAAATGAAGCTGAAGCATTTTGATGGAGAGGATTACACGTGTGTCACTTTCCAACCTGATCTGTCGAAATTCAAAATGACGACTCTTGACAAGGACATCGTGGCTCTGATGTCTCGAAGAGCGTATGATATTGCTGGATCCACAAAGGATGTCAAAGTTTTCCTGAATGGGAAGAGGCTGCCTGTAAGTGAGCATTTAAATGGGACAGGAACACCTGTATTTCTCATGACATTTAACCAGTGAGATTTTGTTGAAGCAATTTATGCCATTACACATAATAAAGTGAAAGCTTGCCAAGCAATTTTTCCTACCAGCCTTTCAGGAGGATGTGCATCAAGTATTTATAGGAGCTGTTACAAATGAGTTGTGTGCTTTGTAGGTGAAAGGATTCCGCAGTTACGTGGACCTCTATCTGAAGGACAAAGTGGATGAGACTGGAAATGCACTTAAGGTCATTCATGAGGAAGTGAATTCCAGGTGGGAAGTGTGCTTGACTTTAAGTGAAAAAGGCTTCCAGCAAGTTAGCTTTGTCAACAGTATTGCCACCACAAAGGTAATTCTTTCACTCCTATAGTCATTTCACTTCATATTTGTTAGTGGCACTGTTTTGTTTCACTGGAGTCACCTCGAGTTCTTTGTTTGTTTTCCCCTAGGGTGGCAGGCACGTTGATTACGTAGCTGACCAGATTGTTACTAAACTCATTGATGTTGTGAAAAAGAAGAACAAAAACGGAGTTGGAGTGAAACCGTTTCAGGTACGATGTCAGAATTTCCAATTAAGGAAGCCTCATATATATTCCATTTTAAGCCAACAAACCGCATTCTCTCTGCTTAGGTGAAGCAATCAGAGTGCTCTGAGTCAGTAAGGAAGCACTACAGCTCAGTAGTCTTTAGATTTTTATTTAGTAGGAGGGCTGCTGATGTCTTGACATCCCAAATCACGTAACTCTCATCAGCTGTCCTAAATTCTGCCAAAAGACATGGAGGAAAATTCCAAAAACAAACAGCAATAATTGAACTTGTTTTCCTCGCTGTGTGATACTGACAGGTGAATCTCAGAAAGAAGACACTGCTGTTACAGGGAGTGGAGCCTGTGCAGTTTGTAATGCTTGTCTTATTTACCTGCAGGTGAAGAATCACATGTGGATTTTTGTGAATTCCTTGATTGAAAACCCAACCTTTGACTCTCAGACTAAAGAGAACATGACTCTGCAGGCAAAGAGCTTTGGCTCAACGTGTAAACTGAGTGAGAAATTTATCAAGGGTGTAAGTATTGGTGTGTGTGGATAATCAACGTGTCTGTGAAGCTGCACCTTATGCTTAGCATGGCAAATACATTGCCTACAAAGTCATGAATTAAAGGAAAACGTTATAACTTAAAATTAAAGCTTTTCCTACGGTTGATTTTGTTCTGTAATTTTGTTTGGGCATTGCAGGCAGTTGGCTGTGGCATTGTTGAAAGTATCCTAAATTGGGTAAAATTTAAAGCTCAGACCCAGCTGAATAAGAAGTGTTCAGCTGTGAAGCACACCAAGATTAAGGGCGTTCCTAAACTGGATGATGCCAATGATGCTGGTAAGTATTTTGCATCCTTTGTAGCCAGTTTGTTCAAAAACAGATAACATTTGCTCACTAGACAAATGAAATAACCATCTTCTAAAGAAAATGACAGCTTGTGCTCATTTTACATTGCAGTATTTGCAGTGCAACCAGACCTGTATGTTTTACGTGTCGTCTCATGTAACTTGTGGTATGCTAACTTTGACTTCACTTCTTAATTTGAAGACTTGGGTTTTTGTCTTTTGTTTTTCAGGCAGCAAGAATTCAATAGATTGTACACTCATCCTGACTGAGGGAGACTCAGCCA